TAAGGGGTTGAAAAATGAGTTCATTGGTCATACAAGAACTACACCACTTCCTAACCCTAAATACTATAAATTAACTGGCTTCAATCGTGAGTTTTGGATAGACATGTTCTCCACTCATGACCATAACTGCCCAGTGTTCTTACCTCCAGACCATAAGGACTGTCTCTACATTGAAGCACAACTCTTAAACTCTACCATCGCAGTATTGTAAATGACCACATGGGCTTCGCCCTTGCCGCTAGCGGCTTATTTTTATCATGAATGACCTCATTGCTGACAAAAATAAATGACCTCATTCATGACCTCATTGCTGACCTCATTCATGACCTCATTGCTGACAAAAATAAATGACCTCAGAACTTCAACTTACGAATAAAGCTTGTTTTAGTCGTTATTGAGAAGTTAAACTTTTCAGCAAAGCAAGGACTAGAAGACTTACATAAGTCAAATCCAATCTCTTGACCGTCATAAAGTGCTTTATAAAGTTTCATGACACTGAACTCAGAGTCTTTGTCAAATTTTCCTTGCGGAACCATTAAACCTTTATCTTCATTGTAATAGCATTGTATAGCTTCAGGAAACATTTCATTAGCGGTTAAAGCAATAACATCTTGCTTCACGCCTTTCATTCTGCAGTGAAATGCAACTTCATTTAAATCGTTAGTGAGTAAGTCTATGTAAGTCTTCTTTCCACAAAATATTGACTTGTATGCTAAACTTTGTTTTCCAGGTGTTATTTCTGCGAAGTCACTATGAAACTGACCAAGGTTTTTACCAATAAGTTCTCTACCGTATCTCTTCTTAAATTCATGAGCTAAACGTGGTATGTCTTCATTGTAAATGTGCATCGAATCTGTATCCTGATAAAATGCTTTTAATCCTAAGTCTTCAATCGTGCAAAACACTTCATTCATAATACGTTTTGACATAGACAGAATGTTAACACCAAGTGGACAGAAGTTAAAGTGTCTGCAAATGCTTTTCGTTAGCTTGAAAATAGTTTTATCTGAACCATCCAAACCTTCGAACTTCACTATATGGTTGTAGTTTCTGATGGCATATCTTATAGCATCTTTGTCATCTACTATGGTTATTTTTGACTCAATAGGAGATAGAATAGTTTTGCCATAAATACTGTTCAGAATGAGCTTTATATTTTCTTGCAAAGGATTTCCTTCTTTCTTATACTTTAACCTTAACTCAAACAACTTCTTTACTTCATCTCTTTTCTAATATCTCTGTTTCCATCGTAGTAATATCCTTGCAACACTTCACATTTGACACCTTGATATTTTATAAGGTCTTGTAATGTTATATGGTCAACATACATTAAACAGCAAGTGTTTGAACTTCTGGGAACGTTAAGTTCTGGATTTAGTTCAGGGTCACAAACTATTAAAGGAAAGTGTCTATGTATTCCAATCTCTGTTATCTTAATGAGAACAAAGAAGCCAGACATAAACTTTTCACCAATGGGTTCCTTTTGGTCGTCATCGAATAAATGTCTCATGAGATACTCTGTGCTTAACATCTCATCCTTCAATACTTTTGGAATTCCTTCTAAAGTATAAAGTCTTGCTATAGCTGATGGATATAATGAAACAGCGTCGAAGTCAGCAATGAGTTTCTTTTTGCTCTTTTGTTTAATGTTATCTGACAACATACATCTTCCACCTTGAATGCATCTTGAAATAAATTCTCTTGGTTTATTTGAGAGGTCATAAAGATTTCCATTCGGGAAGTACACTCTGTTCTCAAACAATTTGTTAGCAATAGAACAAATACTAACGTAGTCATAAACGTTTAAATCAAACTTTTCAATAAGTCATTGCGGAACTTTACAAAACCTTCTCTTAAAATTCTTACATCTTGTTTGCAGTAAAACGTGCTATATTTTTCTAAGTCGAAGTGGTTTTCATCTATACTGCAACCTTTGATGGAATCTATGTTCTTCATGAACGTTTCAATATCTTTTACAAACTTACATGCTTCAGAAATGACACCAGTTCTGTTGTCATTTGCTAACAAAACACTGCTGTAGTAGTTGTATGGAAATACTTCTTTCGGTCCTGTTTGTAAGTTAAACATAGCAGGAAATAGTTTAAGCTTCTTATTTATAACACTGTAAGAGTCTTTTATAATAATTGCCCTTCCTTTATATATAAACCAGTTATTTGCATTGTTCGTGAACCTTTAATGATGGGAGTTCCTTTCACTTCTGTCATGTGTCTTAAGATGAAGTTTATATCATAGCTGAGGTTATGGAAATATATTAAACTCTTGTCAGGAAGTCGCTCCAAAAATTCTGTTGCACAGTTTTGACCCCATATGCTTTCACTCACTGAACCATCTTCACTGTCATAACAGATGTTAAAAGCTTTATGAAAGCCATCGGTACTACACTCAAAGTCAGCAAAGAAAACATGCTCAGGAATGAACTTGCACTTATTTTTATTTACTTCTTTTGACTCTGCTTTCTTCTTCAGTTGTACACAATACTTTGGAGCATATGTCAAATCTTTAAATGGTGCAAGGTTTTGTTTATAATAAGTCAGTCGTATATGTGAAAAGTTCTCCATAAGAAATAGGTTCGAAATATTTGCACTCCCACAATGTTTTCATAACATCCCATAGCGGTGTAGTTCTATCCATGCGAACAATGTATTTATCATCTCTCATTGTATATATTTTCATTCTGTTTTTTCAATGTTCATTCCACCACACTCCTTCAAGATTTCTATATAGTTGCGAATGAAATATGTTGTCATTGGTAATCTTTCGTTTAGCATGTAGTGGTCTTCAACAAGAAGTAAGTCAATAGTTCGAACAGTTTTACATTCTTTTGGTATGTATCTTTTTTCATTATGTCTTGAGTCATTGAAATAACCAATGGTAACATTGAATGCTATAACCTGTTGAATCGGAAATTTCTTGTACTTTACTTTGAGGAAAGTCTCTAACACGAATGACTTCTCTCATGTGGTCAATAGTTTCTTCATTTACTCCAGCCTGAATGCAAGCATAAACGAAACAATTGTCTTCTGTCATAAGTGTTGCAGTTCTTTTTGTCAGTTCATTGAAGATTTGGTAGCGTTCAAGATTTATAGGTAATGTGCAAAGATACTTCCAGAACTGACCGCTTCTCTTTATAAACTTCTTTTCACCAAGGATTTCATTCCAGAAGTCATCTATATCTTGTTTATCTCCTGTTTGTTTAAGTCTGTTCAATAATCTTTTTCTGTCTTTCTGTCAGTGTGCTTTCATCTCTATATGGTCTTTTTTTTGGTTTGCCTTTCTTTACATCTGACATCGTTAAGCCTTCATATTCAGTTAAATCATACATCTTTATTTCAGTAAGATTCTTTATGTTTGTCAAGAAGAAGTCATTAGTGCATTTCAACAATACCTGCAGCATTTGCTTCTATCTCTGATATAAAGTTCTCCTTCAAGGCTGATGTAGTAATGTTCCAATATTATTGAGGTTTAACGTAGAACATTCATACTTTCCACCAAGTTTATAAATACCATCCATCTTTGTTGGGAGTTTAATTTTAATCTTCTCTAAGAGTCTCATGAAAACCTTACCGAAATGTTTGTGTAAGTAGTCTCTGTTTGGTTCATCTAAAGCTTCGATGTTAAAGTCAATGAGTCTATTGCCTGACTTCACATTTCTCTTCCTATTCTCTTCATCTTTCTTTAACCATCTCTCACCTTTTTTGGTTTGTCGTCAATGGAACGAATGACATCGTTAGCTTTGCGAACTTGTTCTATAGCGCTCTTTTAAACATCTCTCTTCTCTGTTGTTTCAGTGTGTCGTCTCTCTTTCGTGTTTTCACCAACGTTTGCATTTTGTTATGTCAAACATCTCTTGACGAACATCATGCGAAAGAGCTTTACGAGTATGACCAACGTTTGCATTTGTTATGTCAACATTTCTCTTCTTACTTCATGAGGTACTGAACGTCTATGATATAAGTCAATAGCAACGTCATTTAAAGGAAATGCTCTTGCATGGACTTCGTCCTCGCCGCGTTGCGGCTTTATGAACTCATGAATTCTATCATAACTTATTGCACCATTATAGTCATTGAGGATGTCAGCGAGTGCTTTTTTGTTTGTTGCGTAATGCTTTGCTACTTCTATGTTAGCTTCTGTAAGAAGTTGTTTTATTTCCGAGTGTTCTAACTTAGAACAACTTCCGATACATCTTTAGTAGGAAATAAAAAAATATTTTTTTTGAAAAAATTAGATTAGATTTTTTAAAGTTATTTTTCAATATAATTTAATATTTTTATTTTAATGAAACACATGCAAGATTGCAAGTTCTTTTCATACAATGCTCTCGCTACTGCCATCAAGAATGAGTTCAATAATGCTTCAAATGTTAATGTTATCTTTAACAAGAAGTTTGTGAAAGAATCTAAGTTTGGTCAGTATGTCAGACCATTAGCTATTGTCATTGACCGCAAACGTTATACTTCACAAGAGTTAGCAGTAGTTTTGAAACAAAAGAGTTTCTTCGTGAATGTCAAAGATACTCATTATACTGTTATAAAGAACTCTAATATTGACTTCTTCAGTATTGCTTTAAATCTTTCCGAACAGAAAGAATATAAGAAGGGTGAAACAAATGTGAAATATTATCCTTTCATCTCTGAAGACAATAACGAACAAAGATGTTATACAGAAATTCTTACCAAAGGTTGAAGAAGCTTCAATTGACATTGACGAAGGAAGTGAAATGGTTGAAGAAATTGACCCTGAAGTTATTTAAGCAAAAATATATTTTTGAATAACTGAAAGTGTCACCACGTCACCATGTGCTACCAGGTTAATTAACTTCTTTTAAAAATGATGACAACATGACATTTTGACAACAGTCCAGGAAATAAATTTTATCGTTAATGTTTACGTTAATGTTTTTCATTAAATTTTGACAAAGTGCAAATCTTCACTTCGTCAAAAAAAAGTTAATGTTTTTCATTGAAATCGGTAAGTTTTCATTCTTCCTCTTTGAAGTTGTCGAAATATTCTGTTATCTTTTCTTTCAGTAATGTTAAGTCTTCTTTAAATGTAAGTATTGTGCAACCTTTGATGTCATAGTGTGTTTGAGGAAGAGTATTTTTGACAATTTCCTTTATTTGCTCATTCGGTGTCATTGAAATCGGTAAGTTTTCACGATAGAACCAGTTTCTGTCAGATTTATATATCTTAGCTAAGTCATAAAAGCTCTTGTTGTTTCTTCTCACTAAATGCAACATAACCATATCTCTATCTTCTTCTTTCTCCAACTCTTCAGCGTAAATCATATACTTATAGCTTTTTTCCTTTCCTTTTGGTACTGAACGTGGTATTCTTTTCTGTATGCTTTTGTCTTTGGATTCAATGACTTCATCTTTTGCTTGAAGTTTCTTTTCCATCTCTCCACGTTCTGCTTTATATAGTTCATCTAACATCATGAAAATATAACAAGCATAACGAGGTGAAGCCCACATTGCTACAGCATTTACTAAAAGTCTATGAACATAATAACCTTTCAAACCAGGAGCCAAATTCTTGCGATTTTCGTACGGAATCTCTTCCCTCGGTTTTCCGAGGGAAGCAATCATATGAGGAAATTCTTCTAAAAGTTCTTTTGCCTGTTGGTTTTCAAACCAATGATATGCTTGCTTTGTAGAAAGAAGAGCATTCAAAATACTTTGCATTTGGTACATGTCATCTTTGACTGAACGAATAAGACGTAACTGTTTGTTATACTGTATGTACTCGTATTCTTCATTTATGGCTTCATGAACAATAGCAATTGTTGTGTTCTCTGATGTTGACATTACTGTCTTTACATACAAAATAAAAAAAATAAATAAAAATAAAACTAACTTTATTTTTCTATCTTAAGGAAATTCATGAAAATTCGTGAGGGTGAAAAAAGAGGTGAAAAAACGGGTGAGATCTCACCTCTTCACCTAAAATATATTTTTGGTGTAAATTTATGACAAAAATAAATGGTACCATTAATGATATCATGACTGTTCTCGTTCATGTCTGATTTACATCTAATGAAAAAGTTTAGAAGAATTTTCTTATTCTTTCTGGTATATTTTTGTCTTTCCAGTACTCCCGCTCTAATGGTCCCAGATGTGTTGGCTTTGACTCTCTCAAGTTCTTAGATGGTATAACATCTTCAACGCCTCCTTCATATCTTACTTTATAAGTGTCATCGTTTATGTTATAGCCAAGTATTTCAATAACCACTCCTCGCTTTGCTTCGTCAATGGTTTCAGCAAGTTTGCCATTACTACTTTCAACTAATTTGTGACGAGGGTAAAACGCAATAGAGTCGTCAGCAGCTTTTATAAGATATCCATTACCTTGCGTAGAGTCTACGATATAATAGTTTCTACTTAACCTTAAACGTTTCTTTGTCAACGGTTTGTCGTCAAGAACTACACGAACTTTTGTTCCAGGAATGAGAGTAAATTGTGTTGAATTTCTGATATTTTGTGTTTGACTTCGTTTCTTTTGTATATACTTTTCTTCTTGTTGTTGTGTCATTGAATTTGGTGTATGTCCTGTTGTAGAATGTGTTGAGGAATTATATACTTCGAGAAAATGTTTCATTGTTTCTTCGGTAAAGTCTCGCTCTTGATTTAAATCTCTGAGCGTTCTTATGAAGCGATTAATGATACCGAGTATGTTATGGTTATGGTCTTCAGTAGTGTAGTGAGTTATGTTATGCTTAATGAGAAATTCTGTGATTTCATTACTGAGGTATGCACTGTCTTGGTCTGATGTTAAAGTACTTGGGCTATGTTCTGCTACAAACTTTTGTAAAACTCTTAAAACTTCATGAGTTCCTTTATTTTTCATTGGATATGCATATGCTTTGCGAGTGTTAACATTAATGAAGATGAGGAATGGTTTATGTCCTCCTTTTCTGCTTTGAATGAGAGTGTCAAATTGGTATGCGTCAGGAGTGTTGGAGTAAATTGGTAAAAAGTAGTCGTAAGGGTTTATTTTTGTTTGATGTACAACATTTTTGTCAAAGAACCTTTTCACTTCAGCTCTGTTAGTAAATCCCCAACTCTTTGCAGCTTCATTGAACTTCTTAAATGACCTCCATGGATGTTGTTCGAATACTTCTTTCAAGCTCATTTATGTAAAGTTAAAGATTTTATTCTAGGCTCAAGCGCGTTCATTGAACGCGGTACCATGCGAATATAGTCACAAATGGTGGCATATAATCTGCACCCGAGCCTGTTGGATTTGTTGTGAAAGTATGTGAATGATTTCCTCCTGGTTCAGTTGGTCGAAAAGTCTTTTTTGCTGCATTGTTATAAGATGGAGATAAAACGTCATTGCCAGCTTCATACTCTGAGTTGTATAATGGGTGGTCTCTTAATGAGTGGCTATGGTCGCCAGAAAAGTTTGTAGTTCCTGTATGAGTGTGCGGTGGAAGGTTTGCTTCAGTAATTTTCTTCGAACCTCCTGTTTGCTTTGAATATCTAGCACAGTATAAGAATTTATCTACAATCTGTTCCCACGTACCGAAACCCAGAACTGTTGCTGGATTTATTGAGTTCATTGACGTATAAATAGAACCTATAGGATATAATGTTTGAAGTATTTCTGTCTTTAATGTTTGAAGCTCTGTTTTGTCAGCTTTCTTATCTAACATTGCTGGTAGTTCATATGCTTCAAAGTTTCTGGCATGATCTTCAATATTCCTGCAACTCTTATCTAAATTGTTAAGAGTATCTTTTACGCTTGTACTTGGATTTTCTAATGGTGCACTTGAACCAAGGTCAAAGTTCAATATTATGTCGTCTGCTCTAACAGTAGTGAAGGATTTATGTGTATGGTTCTTGTCAGCTTTACTGTCTAACATTGCTGGTAGTTCATGGGTTTCAAAGTTTCTGGCATGATCTTCAATATTCCTGCAACTCTTATCTAAATTGTTAAGAGTATCTTTTACGCTTGTACTTGGATTTTCTAATGGTGCACTTGAACCAAGGGTATAGTTCAATATTATGTCGTCTGCTCTAACAGTAGTGAAGGATTTATGTGTATGGTTCTTGTCAGCTTTACTATTTAATGTAGCTTGAAGTTCATTTATATCGGAGATGTTGTGTTTATGAGATTTCAAAACTTTGTTCATTGCTTCGAGTTCAACTTTGTCAGCTTTACTTTTAATAGCATCTTCAAACGTTATTTTTGACTTAACTCTCAAAGTAAATCTTGGTTCAACTAATACACCTTAACAGAAAGTAGAGGCATAAATTTCATCGTTATAACTAAATGCTTCTGGTGCTTTACCCGTGTCATACTGTACAGTACAGCTTATGTCATAACCTTTAGCACGAATGTATTTATATCTTCTTTCATTAATCTTCCGTCTTCACTTCATCACTTCGTGTTAAATATCCATGGTAGTCCGTTATAATCTGTTCGTCTGAAGTTATATAATGAACGTGGTTCTTGACTTTATCACTCAGAGCTAAAAGCTCATTTTTGTTTGCTTTTTCGGCTAATTTCTCATTAACATCATTCACTTCTAATTCAACTCTTCCGCCAGAACTCTTATTATCATTAATCTTTTTCATTAATTCGGTAATTACGTCATAAAGACTATATTCTGTTTTCGGTTTTGTAAATAATGAGTCAAAATTTCTTTTCATCATTACATCGCTGACATTAATGATATCACCAATTCCTTTTTCATTTATTCTCTTCATTAATTCTGCAATAATGACGAATATATAATCTGTTAATTTATTCTCTTCATCGAGGGTTATAGAATGTTTTGAAATTGAATCATTAACTCCTCTAAATAAATCAATAACTTCAGGATACACGTTTTTAATGTCTCGAATAACCCGACCAGTATCCTGTTGTTCATGTTCTTCGTTCCCGTCGTTACGTGGTTTTATATCTCTAACCATCATCAACGCAGCCATAACCGGAGGGTTTGTTGCTACCTGTTCGAAAATCTGACCGTTATGTATGGTATATCTAAATAATTTCTTTGTGTTTGTTAAAACATTTGAAACAAGTCTTTTAAAACCATCTACAAAAATTTCCTGTTTCACCTAATGTTCTTGCAGCATTTACAAGCTCACCCATTCCCGCTTTTGACCCCAAAAACGTCCATATTGCATTTATTTCACTCTGTATAGTTGTCCATTCAGCGAAACTAACACCCGCATTCGCTAAGCTGAAAATGAAATTCGGTGGATCGAACTTAATTCCACCTTCTTTTTCAATTTCAACGAACTCACTAACATGAGATTTTAAGTATTCTTTCGTTAAAAATTGTTTTCCCGATGTTATGTCATTAACGAAACTATCACCGTCAAAAGTTAACGAATTCAATTTCGTCGTTGATGCTTTTATTTCATACACCGCTTTATTGATAGTTTTTGGCTCACCTTCTTTAGAAGCATATGAAACATTAATGAATGAATTATATGTATTCATGAATGAGTTAAAATCAATGATTTTCATTAATGACGCCTTTAATGATTCATTTACTGTCGAATCCCTTAAAGCAATTAATGAACTGTCATTTATGAAAGTTACACTGCAAACCGTCGAGTTTGGATCAAATCCTGTAGTTGGTGCAGGAATATTAATGATATAAGTCATTAAATCATTAAGTGACGTAAATAATGTTGTCGTTTTTGATTTAATTTCTTTAGCATCTGTTATATATGGTAATTTCATTTCTGTAGTTTCTGAATTAAAGATATTCGCTAAAATGTTTTGTAAACTGTTTTGAACAGCTGTGTAAACCGTTGAATCCGGAACTCTTACGATTTCACCGTCCTTAATAAAAGGCATTGCACATGGTGTAGTGCTTGGATCGAATCTTTTTGGGTTATGATTCAACATATATTCTAATGCTTCATGAACAGACTTATATACTGTTGTGTCGTTCTTCATGACAACTTCACCATTTACAATGAATGGCATAGTGCATGGAGTTAAAATAGGGTCAAACTTTTCATAGTCCTTCCATGTTATGTATTTCTCGGTATTTCCATCACTGATAACAATATATTTGTCAGTAAGTGTGAGAGAGTATTGACCAAAATATAAACGTTTAGCTCTGTCAGCTTCATACGCATATGCAGCTATACTCATATTTTAATGAGAATAAAATGTTGTTCTATTTGCAAAGTACAGACCCAAACGAATACGGGACAGTAAAACTACAAACAAACTTAGGTCTACAGAATGAGCCACTTGCATTCAGAATGGTTGACTTCAATACTATCGCTTCATTCGTTATAACTGATGAAACAGATTTCATGGAGTTTGAAATAGATGGAAAGAAGCATGAAATAAGATTTCACAATAATGTAGAATATAAGATGGAAACATTAGCTGGAGTGTTAAATGCTCTCATAAGTACTACAATAAACAAGGATAACGAAGAAAACTTAATGAATGTTAAACTTATTGCAGGAGTTTTGAAGTTCAGTTATGCGAAGGAGTTTAAGATACCAAGAATGAGTCATAGAGTACAACTTCTTTTGGGTGCATACCATATGACATTTCCTTTGAAAAGTGTTGACAAACGATTGAGATGAAATCTGTTCCATACGTATGTTATGGTAATTGTTTGTACATTGAGTCTAAAATAGCTAATGTCACAGGTATTTCAGGAGTTAATAGTAAAGGTTCAGTAGAATATAAGTCTTTCTGTTATGCAGTCAATTCAATGTTCATTCCAAACGTTCCTGTCATAGCAACTCATTTAGGTAAATGGGTTCGCATTAGTCCTCATAATTTGAAAGACATGCAATTCAGACTTGTTGACTTTCAAGGAGAGCCTGTAGAACTGAAGGCACCAGTGCGAATGACTGTTGAAGTTGACTTTTTAGAAAATATTAAATGCAACAGCTTACAAGAGAACTCAGAGCTAAAAATATAAAGTATGAATGTTATGTATTAGGTCATGAACTTTGGTTGTTGCTGTTTGATGAAACAAATGAGTTAGTTATGTCAGTCAAGAGAACAGAAAAATATTGTGTTAGTGAAAACTGCACCAAGTCAATAAGATTAGGTTTGCATTATGAAGATGAGTTCGATACTGTTGAAGAAGTTTTGGATAGATATTACAAATTGCTAACTTGAAATTTTTTTTGACTGACGGCGCAAAGCGCCAAGATGGGCTCAAAGAGCCCTCCTGACTGCTTTAATTTACTAAAACATATTTCAAACAAAGTTTATATTCTGTTGAAAGTTTTGTATATTCGTTCGAATATTTATACTTAAACTCAACTCCTGTAGTTCCTGGTGTTTCAATGATGCGGATGTTACCTATTTTCATGAATGGTGGCGTTTGACCACAGCATTCGATTTCAGGGTCGAGATAGTCAATGACACATTGCTTTCCTGTTATTCGTGATATAATATTTTCAAGGTCCTCCTTTGTTAGAATTATTTGGTTCTTACTTATAAGATTTGTCAAAAGCTTCTTATCGTCTTTGAGTAAAATTGTTTGGTATAACTGAAGAAGGTAATGGTCTACGTTATCTGAAGGATTTGTTTGAACATTTGTGTAAGGGTTGTCGTTGGCTTCTCTTGAAAGAATTTGGTCCAGTGGTGGATACTCTAACTTAACATCTGATGTAGCGTTAGCGTTTGAAGCTGTGTTTAAATTCACGGCGCCATGCTCCAAGACCGAAGGTCCCGACTTAAGTTCTGGTTCTTTTTCTTTCAAACACTCTGAACTATAGTTCTTTATGACAATATTGTTTGTCGTTCGTGAGTCAACATTTGATGTTGGTTCAATTGGAACATTAACGGCACCAGCTAAGATGGATTTGCTTCTCATTTCATATAGAATAAAAACCTTTTATATGTATGAAATGAACAATATACTCGACAAGGGTTTGAATGTAAAGCTAACGAATGAAAATATTGTTGAATTCACTGAGACAGGAGCTGTGTATAAAGATGTAGAACTACTGAACAAAAGAGCAAAGGGAAGAAGCAGGAACATGAACAAAGGGTGGAAGCCTATAAAAATTTATGTCAATGATGGCTCAGGAGGTTCAAACATAAAGTATGCAGAAAGTTATAGAGTTTATGCTCTCAAAGGTGAAAAGCCTTCATTTAAGAACAGCTATTCTAACGCATATCCTCAAAAGCTAACGGATGGGGAAGTGGATGATATGAATGACAGCAAAAATATTAACAGAAATGGCGACAGAGATGCATGGAATTTGTTTACCATCAGTCAATTGAAGGTTAAACTTTAAAACAATGTTGGTCGTTCCCATGGAATATTTTTGACTTTAATGGTATTAGTCATGATATGAATCTCAAGGTATGAAAGAGGAGAGATGAGAGACTTATATGCTTCCCATATTTCTTCAAAAGGTAATGTTATACCTGACTGTTTCCAAATGAGTTCAATGTCATAGCGTGAGAAACCTTGAAAGATAACGAAGTCAGTTATGAGACGTTTTATGTTTAAAGCTAAAAACCTCCATGTTTGCATAAGTATTGCTACAGTTAAGTGGTAATGTCTGACTTTAGTAATGATGTTAGCTAATGGTGAGTCTGGTTTTGACACTAAACCTTTTCCGGCGAAGTCGTCACAAACTAATAAAGTGTTTGATGGATATTTTTTGAAGGGGTATTTTGAAAGTTTTGACAGAATGTAGTTTGTAAGTCGTTTCATATCGTAAACTCCTGAGTACTGACGTAAGTGGTGTTTGTTAATAATTCTTTCCATCTCCTCAGAAGTCTTTTGCATTCCTGACTGTATAAATTCAACGATGGCATAATATTTCCTCTTACGTCGAATGTAACGTTGAAGAAATTCAATGAGTTCACTGTCTGGAACTTTAACGACAGAGGCTTGAACTTTTGACATAAATGTTTTCGCTGTTGAGTCCATAGAGTCTGAAGTTGCTGATATAATGATTTGGTCATAATATGAGTCATTTCCTAAACGTTCTGTTATAAGAATATGACGAATGAGGTTAAATGTCTTACCCGAACCCATCTTTCCACAATAGAAATAAACACCATTTGAACAGAACTCATAATCTTTGCTGAAAGGAAGAATGAGAGAAGAGTTAAGTTTGTCTGTAGTTTCATTCATGTCTTCATCTACGTCATGTATTAAATGCTTCATTTTATCTCCATTAAAAATGCAAGTCAGAAATATTCAGAACATAGCACCGAGTCTAACTGACAAGAGTATAAAGATATACTATGAACATGTTATGATGAAACCTACCAAAATTCAAGAAAGTCAGTATACTTATGAATATCCAAGACACTGGGTAGAGTATGTAGGAGGTGAGAAAGCTATTGAAATCAGACAGGTTCGAAGTATTCCAGCAGGAAGAACAATATTATTGAAGAACTTTAATGTTTTGAGATATAATGATGAAACAAAGAAGCAAGATAGTTTCCCTGTTGCTGTGTATGTGAACTTAGATACAGGAGATGACATGAAAGTTTTTAATACAAAGCTTCAAACGGTAGTGAGAGAACAACTGACTGCGGAAGGGCATCCATTACCTTCAGAAGTTACCATAGCATATAATTTTGAAACAAACTCAATAGATTTTAAAGTCATCTCTGCAAAGAAGTCGGGTTTTACATTTAATGAAGCAGATGTATATTCGAATGAAAACTTCAAAGCTATTGCATGGTTAGATAATGACGATTGCTTTAAGAAAATATTTAAATACAGTGACTCAACGATGTCAATAGATGACCTTCGTGGAATGTTACCATCGACGTTTACAGTAGAAGGTTCAGCAGGATTGCTTACAAGATTGTCAATTGGTGGCATTTGGTCTCGTGAGAACATTGTTATAAAATCCAGTATAAGTGAATTTGCTGAAGAATCTATATTATGTCTTTCAAACTATATGTATTCGCCGCCAAAGCATTATAGTATAACAAACTTTGTCAGTAAGTTTAACATAAGACTTGTCGAACCTTCTTCAATGAAAGATGTTGTGCTACCTAAAGATGGAAAGGATGGACTCATTATTGAGATGATTTTAATTGCATATTAAATGAGCTTGTTCTTAAAGGTCGTTCATGATGAAATAACTGTTGTAGAAGATGTTAGCAATTGTTCAGACATTTTGAAGCGAATAGATGAGATAAGAAAGAAGTTAGATAGACCGCAAAGCGGTGAGGGTGAAGCCCGTGAGAATGTTTATGTTTCATTGACTTTCTCCAGTAACGAGAACTTTTATGAGATAATATTGAAGAGAGATGATTTTAATATGGTGTAAATGGTAGCTTGGGCAGCTTTAGGCGCAATGGGAACAAAAGCATTAGCATTTGGAGCAAAAGCACTTGGAGCTTATGACGCAGTAAATAAAATGAGTGGAGGAAGGGTTTCAAAGACATTAGATGCAAATAAAGGAAAGATTGGAGGCTGGGTTGCAAAGAAGTTAAGATTAAATAAAATAGGGCTCATAAATAAAGCATCCAATTTGGTTGCGACTGAGTCAGAAAATGCTTTAGGAAAGGACGATGAGTTTGCAAAACACGTAAAAGACTTTAATGACCAGATGAAAGGTGAAACAATGCATTTAAATAGAGTCGATGGAACTAAAGAAGATGTTTCTTCTCCACCAGTAGTTCTTCCGTATGGTCCCTATGGAATGTATGGAAACCCTTACGAAAGACCATTTGACCCATTGACTGGTGGAAGTAACTGGTATCATTACGGACGAAGAAGAAAGACAGTCAAGTTGGAGACAGACGTGAAGAAAGCAACTAAAAAGAAACCAAGGAAGAGAGTTATAAAGCAATGAATTCAACAGGGTGAAAAAACAGGTGAAAAAAGAGGTGAGATCTCACCACTTCACCTAAATTTATTTTTGCGCTATGTTTTCATAGGTGTGGGAGTGGTGATATCATTAATTTTTATTGTATTTTATTTTTACTGAAAATTTTTATTTGGATGTAAATGACAGAACAAAAGCAACTCATTCGAATTCCACAGTATAACAAACATACATTTAAACATTTATTCTTCCTTCCTGAGCATAACATGTTCTTTCAAATACATCCGAGACCAGTTGACTTTTCATTGACTGTTTATAAAGATAGAAATAGTTATATCATTAAACCATACGATGACGAAGGTAAGTTATGTAAATTGTACGTTAAGAAGTTAGAGAAAGTTTATGGCTTCAAGTATGACTACAATAGGGTTAACACTGATGATGAAGATATTGAGGAAAATTTATGAGAACATTAGTGAAGTCGTTAGTGAGAACGATAGTGAGGTGAAATTGTTGGCGGCTTTGTAAATATTTAAGGTTAAGTTAGTTTTTGCGTTCATGTTGTAAAATATACGTTAACGGTTTTGTAAAGTGTCAAATTCACAAGTATTGGGTAAGGTGGAACACAGTGCCACCATACCCAAGACTTGTATACTAACTAAAGTGTTCTCAAAACCTAGTTTTTCTTATTTTGGATAATCTTAATATTTATATTATTATAAACTAATTGAACACCATATGTTTTTGTATACTTTTACAAAAAAATTGATAGATTTGTGATACTTTCCCCGATGATAGAATTGAATAGCTTACATTTTGACAGAACTTAATATGGAACATTACAATTGTTGGAAAAGAGCCGCAATTTAGTGACTTGTATTTGTTTGCTGGGTTCAGTTTCTGGTCGCAGTGAATGAGGAACTCGTCAATTCTGTCTGATGAGTAACGATTTATGTTGTGCATCCTCTTTCTTGGGTCGACCAACGATTGGAAGTAATTTGTCATGAACTCGCGCGCAATGATTTCGTAAGAGACTGTTGCTTTATTGTGCTTATGGTTCTTTATGTCCTGCAATGTCTGCTCTAGGTTGTAGCCGAACATAGTCATCCTTGTTGAGATGTAGTCATGATTATAGCGAAACCTTGCAACTCTTTCTTCGTAGATTCTTACGAATGAGCCAATCCATGGATGGGTCGAGAGATCATCAATGGAAATCCTTGTTTGAGGGTTCTTATCTAATAGTCGTTTGAATAAGTCCATTAATGAAGGAGATAGGTTTGGAGGGTATTGTATATCACGTAAGATTATGTTGTGAGCAAGTCTTGTGTAGTTTGTATCGGAAAAAGGAAGACGACCACAAACCATCGCATAAAGTACAATTCCGCAGCTCCAAATATCGGAGGAAAATGAGTATTTTTGTCCCATTATCAATTCTGGTGATGCATACATAGGAGATCCGCATTGAGTATTCATAATCTGTCCATCATCTGGATTTCGACTAAATCCGAAATCAATTAAACGGATATTTTTGTTAATATCAAATAGTATATTCTCGGCTTTAATATCGCGATGAGCAATGTTGCACTTCTTTTGTAAAAATTTCATTACAACAATTAATTGGGCAAATACTGGAGCTGCATCTTGTTCACTAAAAGGTCCATATTGGTTAATATAGTTTAAAAGTGTGCCATTATGCGCGTATTCCATGACTAAATAGGTACAATCTGTGTCATGAATAACATCATAGAAATCTGCAATATATGGATGTTTGACTCTTCTCATTATTCTAACTTCCCTGTCAATAATAGGTTTTGGAGTGCCATTGCGAATATCTAAATTTTTTGGGATCATTTTTATTGCAACAACGGATCCTGTAGTATTATGAATGGCCATAAATACTTTCGCAAATGCTCCACTACCAATGTTGGACTGAATGCTATAATCTCCTAGGACAGGAGATGGTTTCATTTATGTGCTAAAATTTGTGATGTATTTTATCGTTGACAGAAATTTTGGTTCGTGATTTAATTTCTTGAAGATGTAAATGATAAATAGTATATATTGAAAACAATCAGCCAATTTTTTAATAAAGATTTTAAAATTGAGAAGCATTCAATTGCATTTTCTGAAAGTGTGTAAGGTTTGTAGATATTATTTATCTATTGATTTTTGACCAATAATTTATTTTTACAAAAATTTAATTGAATATAATTCAAAATATTAAACAATCATTTTAGAATATATTAACGTAGATAAGCATAATCAATGATTTTATTAAATAAAAATTGAATGATTTACATTTGTTGTAAAAATTTTTATCTGCAAACAGTCATATTATTATTTCTCTTGCCTTTAAATCAATTGAACATACTATACTTGTGATTTCCGTCACTTAAAATTATTGATAAATCATGATAATTTTTAGTTTTCCAAATAACTAATTTATCGACCCTTATTTTACTGATAAAACATAATATTGTGAAATGCGCTAATTGTCTGACCATTTTTAGCTTATTTTCATAATCTCAAATTTAATTTTCCATTTCAAAAGATGGTTATATTGTAGATTAGCACTCCTCTATTCTATGCTTTGAAATTTATAGTATCTAGAAGATACATCAATAATTTAATTAAATTGTATTACTTCACTCTATAATCAATTTGTTTCCCTTCCAATAAATAAGAAAAGTTAATTTTGTAGATCAATGGAAAGAGTGATCTCCATTAACAATTATATCAAAGAGTTTACGTATTCTTCGATAAATTATCGGTGAAATCGATTTTAGTTATATTTTAATTACAAATTGTCGATATAGTATTGTGTTTTAACATCGATATTTTCTTAAAAATCAAATATTTTTAATTAAAAATCCAAATTTTTTATGAATTTTGTAAAATCATTAAAAAATGTTCAGAGTTGATCGATCTTTTGGTCCTTGGACAATTCCAAAGGAACATATTTTTTATGAATCAGAGCTTTCTTTTGCCTTCGTTAATCTCAGACCAGCATGCGAAGGACACGTTTTGATTTCTCCAAAGCGAGTTGTACAATTTTTTGATTTATTAACAGATGCAGAAAAATTAGATCTATTAAACACAGCAACTCATGTTCGTGATACTATGAAAGCATCAATGCACACAGAAGGATGCGCAATGACAATTCAAGATGGACCTGCAGCTGGCCAAACAGTTCCTCATGTTCATTTTCACGTAATACCTCGTAACTTCCCTACAAAGTTTTCTTCTTCTCCGGATTTATCCTTCGAAACACGTTGCGAAACTTCAAATAAATATAGAAAATTCTTTGGATACTAAATCTTCATTACAGAAACAAGCACTTACTTTTCCATCAAATATCTGTTTTGATATAAATATTTTGGTCAAATAAAATATGATAAAATTGTTTTTATAGTTTTATTTTTTCGTTTTCAGCAGATATTCAAGATGTCGGCACCATATACCAGACGATATCGGAAAATACAATTATTAAACCAAAAATGCATCATATAACATCCGATCCTCATGCTTATGCTAAGAACCCGTAAATTTAAAACGATTCAAGAGAAAAATTAATTTTAAAATGTTATTTCATACTTCTTCAAGAAATAACACAATTGAGTTACAAAAATGTTTTTTTTTTCACATACCTGAATCCTTCTAAGTAACATATCCTTAAAAAACTAAAAAAAATCAGAAATCATCAACATTTTAATATCATATTGTAATGTTCATATCACTCTCTAACCCAACAAATAATTTAAAATTATTCTCTTGTTGCTCCATGATCAATGAGGTACTGATATGTAACAGTTCCGAATTTCGAAGCGTAGAATAGAGGAGTTCCGTGATTTGTACGAATATTAACATCTGCTCCGTGTTCAACCAAGATTTTAATCAAATCAAAGTTATTATTCTTCAAAGCGATCAAAAGAGGTGTCCATGTCTGAAGAATTTCATCATCATGCTTGAGATTGCACAATTTCGGATTAGATTCGACGAGATATTCAACACTTGCAATATCTCCTGCTTCTGTAGCTCTAAAGATATCATCTATGAAGTTCTTTGGCTTAACAAGTGGTTTGGTAAACGCTGCTTCACGCCATTTTGTATTATCTGCCTTAAGAGTCTGATTATAAGTTTTAACTTCTTTGTATTTTTCTTTAAGGATCTTGAACTCGTTAACCCAATGCGGATTTCTCTTCTTGTATGCTTCAAGCTTAGTAACTTCTTTCGTTAAGTCTTCTGCAAGAATTGTATTTCTTTGGTATCTTTCGTATTGAGATAAGATAGTTCCTTTGAGCTTCTCTATGTCTTCTTCAAGCTCTTGGACATGCAAGCTCTTTGGAGGAGGTGGAGCTAAGAATGGCTGAGTGCAAAGTTGAGTAATGATGGGAAATCCTTCAATTCCTTTTAACGCTTCAAGAGCCTCACCACCTGAGATATTGCCGCAGTTTAAAAACATAAGTAATCCGATTCCGGATTCTCCTAAAAATTTAATATGCAATTTAAGAGCTCTGTTGGCTTCTTCTGGCGTTAAAATTCTATTTGCATTCTTTAAAACACGACCTATTAATGCGGCAGGTAATGAAAAGAAATTTTCATTTTTCATAAACATTTCGAGATTCTTAATGAGAATTTCATCGAAATTTTTCGGATCTGGATTTTGTTTGAGGTTTTTTTTAATTTGATCAATCGTCGTTTGAACTTGAGCTTCAGGAGATACCTTTTCCTTCGATAAAGACATTGTCACTTTTTATTTGCGAAAATGTCACTTTTGATAATTTCGCATATATTTTCTCCAAAAAATAATTGATGAAAGGATCAATCCTTATTTTCATAGAATAATACTATTTTATTAGCATCTTCTTTGCTCCTTTTCACTTGCTAAGTTTGAATGTCATAATTATTACTTATCATATTCATACATTTAGTCATTATATTTATGTAAATTTATGTATTATCTGTATAATTATTTTACATAAGCACATCTATATAATGCTTCACGATCAGTTTCTCTATAAAATTCCGCATGAATTAAGTAATGAAAAATGAAAATTAAATTTGTTAATTGTGGTTGTTTTGGATAGACAATTTTACATAAATGATACTATAGAGAAAGAATAGATAGTATTTTAGCCTTCAAGGGCAAAGTTCAGTTATTTCATAAAAAATCTTTATTATTTGGGTGATAAAAATAACATTAATATATAATAAACTACATATAACTGTGACTGAAGCAGTAATGATCGCAGTTGGGAACCTTTTGAAATTTTCAAATTAAATTTAACTAAATTCTCATTTTAGTTTGAAGAATTTCTTAATTTGAGGAAGCTCTGGTATCTGATCCTGATTTACATCAAATTTATTTGTATCATCAATATTCAATTCAGATTCGCCGTATCTAGATGATACCTGAGCATCTTTTGGTCCATCGAATTTACAGTTAGTGATATTAACTACTTGGTAAACTGATTCGAGCGAAATTGAATGTGCCTGCTCATCACAATGGTTCAAAACAAAGTTACATGTATCAAACCTAGATTTGTGCATCATATGGAAGCATGTAAAAGCACCACCTCTGCATTGAGCGCTATTATTCAGAAAAGTAGCCATTTTGACAGTTCGTGTAGTTGTTTTGAATGCAAAATCAAAGAAAGCACCTGAAACAAATGCATGGTTATCTACAAAATATGATGTAAGTAAATGACCGCCCGCTCTATCAATTCTCATGGCTCCTGTCCAAAGTTCTGCATGATTTTGGCTAGAATTAGTATTTTGGATCAATGATGAGTCTGATTCATATCTAGTGTCCATGTGGCATCCAGCTGAATATTTTGCGGAATTATTGTAAAATTGGTCGTCATTTAGGTTAATAAAGGCCGATTCTAGTAAATTAATAGCGCCACCAACATTAGAATGGCAATTAGAAAAGACTGACTTGGTAATATTTATCAAACTTGCTCTTCCATATATTGCTGCTCCTCTCTCGGCTACTAAATTAGTAAATATACAATCTTCGATGATGACATTGTCAGATTCTTTTGAAATGATTTGTTTTTCGATTCTTTGATTGGTTTCTTTCACTAATCCATCAATTTTAATAGCAGATCCTATTATTTTATTGAATTTAGTTTGATAAACTTGATATTTTTGTGAAGGAATTCCGCTAAGAATTGTATTTGTTATTTTATTAAATCTTGAAAATGATAAACTGAATGAAATATGCTGATCACTTTGAAAGTTACGTGAGAATAAAGGGCTTGGAAGCACTTTATCTGCAACTAATAAACGAGTAATAGTGAGATTCATTAGTTGCAATATTGAAAAATAAGCAACTCATTGACTAAATTTGAGAGCTAGATTTTCAACCAGATTTCTATATGTTTTTTCCAATATTAGATTTGAGATTCAGAAATTATTATGTAAAATGAGCATTATTTTGACCTGCGTTTGTAATTTTTAGAATTTTAGTTCATTTTAGTTATTGGATTTTAAAAATCTCTAAATATATTTGAAGTTTCAAATATTTGATCTTTAGATAAGCGATCACAAGTAAAATCATTGATAAATATCGATTATCTTAATAAGTTTAATTGGAACCAGACATAGATGTTCATATAATCTAATGAAAAACAACTGGCACAATTTTATTTCTCGACTTGTAATAATCTGTTTGCAAAATTATTTGAACCATATAAACACTTATCGAATGTATATTTAGTGTTTATTGAATCAGACTTCAAAAACCTCATGTGAAATTTGAATACATATAAAAATCAACAATTCAAGTAAAATGAAGAGGAGGATAAGTTGAATATTTATAGAATATTATTATAATCCATTTTCTGCGTATCCAAATAGCAAAGATTTATGCTTCTTTTTGAGATGTTTACAAGAGACCATTTAAATAGGTGAAGTCAATAATTTGTATATAATTTATGTGTATTAATACAATACTCTAAAAATGAGCCAAATAAAAAAAAGTTTATCTTATATTTAAAAACATGATTTGATATGAATATATTTATTTACATCATGCAAAGATTCCAAATATGAAATAAAACAATCATCGATGGCGTAAAATACACGAAAAAAATTGAATAAAAAGTTGTTTCACTTATCAATATGAACTGCTATTTCATCAATGCAGCCCATAAGGAATTCCTCCTGACAATCGGCGACAAGAGCTGCGCCGAGCGTGAGGGCCAACTTATCATTTGGAAGTACGAGAAGGGTCTTCAGAACCAATTCATGCTTTTCAAGGAGCGTTTAGTTAACGCCCTCTCCGGACATCTTCTTGAACCACTCAACCAGGAGGTCGGCTCAATTGTTATCCAAGACGGCGTTTACAAACGTGAGGAGAAGTGGGCATACTATCCAGATATGACAATCCGCAACTCCAAGGGCCTCGTTCTCGACGTCCAGGGTGGCCGTTTCGAAGAAGGCACACCAATCATTCTTTGGAATTCCAACGGCACAGAGCAGCAGAAGTGGATTCCATGCACAGTCCTTGTCACAGGCAGAAAGCACAAGAAGCATCACTCAAAGAAGGAAAAGAAGCCAGAGCCAGCTCCAGAACCAGCTGAGGAGAAGAAGGAGAGCTCATCTGATGACGAAAAGAAGAAGAAGGGATTCTTCGAGAAGGTCGCTGATAAGATCTCTGACGCTCTCTCATCATCTTCATCATCTGATGATGAAAAGAAGGACGCTCCAGAGGGAGAAAAGAAGCACCGCAAGCGCAGACATCACACAAAGGATGGCTCTAAGTACAGACATCGCAAGCACCACTCTCACTCAAAGGAAGGAGAAAAGTAAATTCGTATGAATAAAATTTTCCATTTCATGAAGTTATATTCCAACATTTACAATAATATTCAATATTTTAGTAATTAATCCACTTTCCTTTGATATCTGAAGCAAAATATTAGAGAATCATTAGTGAAATATTTCAATCAAACGAAATTACAGAAAGATTTATGAATTTCTCATGAAGTTAGATTACAATGTTTAATTTCTTGCATGTTCATGCATATTAATCCCAATGTCTTATACGTCTTTAACGTAAGACCTTTATAAATCTACATTCTTTTTCAAATTCATGCTATCTATAAAATATTATGTCATTATTAAGAGAATAGTCACATCGTCTATAATTATGATAAATTACTATCAGATCAATTGTTATTTGATGAGAACCAAATCAATTGAACTATTTGTTCAAAATTACAGTAAAGATTATAGAGACAATGCAATCACACTTATCATTCGACAAAACAATAGTGTATATCATCTTCTATTCCAAATATTCCGATGAGATAAGGTAGTTTTGTAATATTTCCTTCATTTTGTTAAGATTCATTTCGATAGCAATATACGGGGTTCTTGAAATAAGATTCCGATTCTCATCAAGAATTTCAAACTTTCTTTACATAAAAGTGCCATCTCATTTTTTCAAATGTCTTCCTCTGAAGAAGAAATTGAGACTAACATCGAAACTGAAGATGGAATTCTTACAACCAAGAATGTCAAAGTCGATTATAAAAATTTGGAAGCTCAAGGCGCAGAAATCAAATTATCCGACGATGAATTAACGATTCAAAAAAATACTAAACCCAAAAAAGTAGCATTCGATGCTCCAGCTCCATCACCATCAAAACAATATGATGCAAAATCCGTTGCTTCCACAGCATCAAAAGCATCAAGAATTTCTAAGAAATCCACTGCTAGTAAGATAGAAATCGAGAACGACCGTCTTTCCGTTATGATTAATAATCTTGGTTTGAATGAGGATGAAATTAACTTCCAAAGTCAACAACAGGCAGAAGCACGCTACAAGAAAATGGTTGAGAAGAAGTTTAAAGTTTTCATAGAGAATAGCGAGAAGATTAGAAAGAGTAACGAAACTTCAGAAAGAAATAATATCAGTATTGAAGAATTATATAAAATGCCTCGTCATAAACTACTTTACGAGAATGAAAAGCTTAAAGTTAGAATCCAGAGCTTAGAGAAACAAAGAAAAGAACTGGATGAAAAATTCATCACTCTAAGTAAAAGACTTGAGCAGCTCAGCTAAATTACCACTTTACTTTGTTGCGTTTATTGATTTGATTTTATTTGGTAAATATATATTTTTATTTTTTCAAATTTTTATCCCGATTTGGAAATCATGATTTTTGTTTCTTTTCTATATCATGCGTTTCTTAGAATCTAAGAATGTGTTGTATTGGATGTTGATAATATTTATAACAATAAACAAGATCATCACTGCTTTTTCACCTGAAAGTCAAAGCCAGATTGCAGTAGAAGAGACGAAATTGTGACTATAAGAAAAATTAAAACTTTCAATTCCCATTTCATCTGGTACTCATGATATCTGCAAAGTATCCAAGCAATTGAAGAGAGAGCTTTTTCAAAGTCATTATTTATAGATCGATAGATCAAATAATTTCTTTCTAAAACATCCATTCTATAAGGTCGCCAAAAAAAAGTGCGGAAATTAAAAACCGCAGTTTGAGTACTTTCTGAGAGTCTGTTTGTCAGAAAGTATACATTTGTAAACTTTCTGACACTAAAATTTTTTTGGTCCTTTCAAAGTTTTTGACAATGTCAAAAAGTATACATCGGGGCTCTCAATTTTCCTCTCAAACGGCGGTTTTTTAAAAACGCTCATTTTTTCATCGACCTTATACTGTTTGTTTTTTCATTTTTGATAAGGATTTGACAAATGTCAAAAATTCTTTTATCGTTTACGATTTTTGACATTTTTGATTGAATTTTCTCAGAAATGACATCCAAAGAAGATGATAATATCCAATCAAAACAGCCACTAAGATCAACGGCTGTTACAATATACAAAGATTGGGTACACTCATCTGTGACTGTTTTTGGGATGGTTCCAAAATTTGAACCATTTGAAGCTAACATTATCACTCAAACAAGCACAGGGTTTCTTTTTGGATGTATTCCAAGCAATAGAACGCAATCTCCTCAAGCAAATCAGTCCTCACCGACACATTTTTGGCATGATATCAGTGATTTTTCAATAGATCTTGATAAAGTTATCAGAAGTCAATTTGAAAAAGCATTTGGAAAAGTTCAAATGATATTGCAACTCAATCAACCAGTTTCTGAACTAATGAAATACTTAGAAATGGCAAAGCAGAAGAAATCTAAATCACCAAAGCAAGAAAGACTTCTTTTTGAATACTATTCTTACGGAACTCCTCAAATAGAAAACGGAGATTTACATTTTTGCAGCAATAAAGGCTATGAAAAGGTTAATATCAAAGAAATTCTTAACCTAGCCGGTAAAACGTCATGTTTTATATTCGATTGCGACAATTCTGGATCATTACTTCCATATATTAAAGAACAAGATTCAGATATCTACGCATTTTTCTCAGATAGCGATGGAGAATTTATTCCACGATCTAATGGATTGCCAGCTGATCTCTTTACTTCATGTTTAATGACTCCAGCTCAAATGGCCTTATTATGGCATTCGAGGCACTACTTTTGCTTCAAGAATGGTCCATTAACTCCATTGAACACCTCATTCGAAGTTGAGTGCATGTGCGATTTCAAGAAGATCTACGAGAATATCAATACATTACTTCGACATATCGTTGAAGCAATGGCTTACAAGACCATGGGCCACGAAAAATTCATGAAGATATTCAGAAAAGACAGAGTTGTCTCTCAAATTGCGATAAATTTTGTTTTGGCCCAAAGAATATTTTCATTTTTTGAGAAAAAGCCGATTTCTTATCCAGAAATACCAGATATGACAAAGAATTCATTATGGAATAGTTTTGACATGCGAATGGACGCAGAATTGTTCAGAGTCCAGAGGGTTCCTGAATCACTACAAATCCCTTTTTCTGTCTATTTGAACCATGTTTTGACAACTTTAGACAACGCTGTCGTTGTTTCTAAGCCTGAGATAACTTACTTCCCGGAGTTGTCTTTCATATCGTCTATGCTAAACGAAGAATCCCTCCAGGCAAGAGCTTGTACAACACTCGCAAAATACTTGGATAAATCTCCAGATTGTATAAGAATTTCACTTCACTTTTCGGTTGTTCCGAAACTCATTCAAATTTTAAATCAAGGAAAAGTATTGGCATGCATATTCTGTATAATCAAATTGTTTAATTATGAACGTTCTATGTGGAAACATTTCGAAAATGAAAAATCTAACTCTCCAAACTTGCCTTTGGTGCCGATTGTTGAGTGGATAAAAAAGACAAATCCACCAACATTGCCATTGATACTATTAACTTTGTTGACAAAGGACTCTGTAACCGGTGGAAAGAAATTTGTCGAAATGCCATGGAAAGAAATTATTATGCCCTTGTTCAAACACAAACATTCTGATGTGAGAGTATGGGCAATGTTCCTGACTGCAAATATCTGCAAGTATTTGGATGATTCCCAGATTGATGAAATTTTCGAGGCTTCTAAATTGAATATGGATGATGACTGTGAGTTAGAATTGAAATTGGCATCAATACATTTATGCTCTGAGATGTCAAATGGCGAAACAAGCGAAATCCAACTAAAAATATTAAAATACATTTGCCAATTCATATCTTCGTCATTCTATATCATCAGATGCCAAGTCTTATCTGCGATATCGGTATTCTATAGCAAAATTCATAAATTTGGCGAAGAAAATCAGAATGAAGTTCCAAATGACGAAAACTTATTGGCCTTTGATGAATTGGCAAGCCAACAATTAATACTTCTAGCTATTGATCAGCATCCCAGCGTCATGAGTGCAACAAAAGCTGTTTACAATGATATTGCAAACAAAAATGATCCGAAAAAGCCATCAAAAGTCTTCGAATGCTTCAGATATAAACTGTTTGACAAGATTTACAGAATAATTGACAGCACAGATGTCAAAATCAGCACCTGCAACAACGACGTCATTGTCAAACACGTAATAAACGATTTGAAGCCGGTAAAAGAGTTCAAAGACTTCACTCTTGGTCCGACCTTCACTCACAACCAGGAAATTACGACGAACATCTGCATAAATGAGTTTAATAACCTTGTTTACTTCGGAGATTTGAACGGGGAGCTTCACATCAAGCCGTTCAAAGAGAACAGGATCGTTAAAACGGCCAAAATCTCTCCAGTTCAATTGGACCACGTTGAGGTAATCCAAAATAACGGGTTCCCTGTTCTTTTTACTTCGAATTCCAACGGATTCATCCAATCCTATTTAGTGAGGGACACGGATCTCACTCTCACGTCTATTTCCGACAGCGACGTCACTCCTGGACTGAAATGTCGCAAAATTTTCAACGCGAACGACATATCCGGGTTCATGCTTTCTTACTCGGAGAATGCGTCTGACAAGATCCAGGTCTACGATTTGGAGCAGGAAAGAGTTATTCGGACTATTTCAGCTGATGGCTTCGTGAAACATGCCGCTTGGTGCGATACTGGCAGCAATTTGATCGGAATATGCTGCAACAATGAGGAATACTTCAAAATCTACGACATCAGGGAAAATAAGCAAATATACAACATCAAAATCCCAGAGTTTGCTTATCAATACTTGACTGCAGATTACCCGAACATGAAGTACTCCGTTGCATCTAATTTTGGCAAGATCTACTCAGTGGATTTGCTTGGAAGAGACCAAGTTGACTCGCAGTTCTTAGTTTCTGGAGGACAAACAACTTGCTCTTTCTCGATGCAGCCTTGCACGAGGAGATACTTGCTCGGACATGAGAAAGGAGTAACTCTTTTCGATACACAAAATAAAGTAAATAAGACATTGACAAAGTTCTGGAATTTGATTGGATCTGGAACAACCATTGGCCCTGTAACAAGTTCTATATATCATCCAGTCGAAAACAGCATGAATATGATGAGTCAGAGAAATATTGTTGTTATTTATGGAAATAATAAAGAATAAAAATTATTTTTTTTCTGTTTTGTTTTATAAATTTAGAATTATTTTCATTCAAACTATTTTGGAGAAGATATTTAAAATAGCTATTTCCATAGTATGATTTCTGAACTTAGACATCAAGAACTATGCATGACTTATAAGATTAACATATTTAGAATGAGTGATTAGTAAAGACTATGTTATAATCGACAATATTATTCAAAAACTTGTATATTTTCACTTTTTTTGACACGCCGATTACAGTGAAATTCAATCAATGTCTGAAATTTCAAATGAAGAATCTCTTGAAGACATTGCATCTTTACTTGATATTTCATTTGCAAATGAAATGCTTCGAAGGGAAATAGAACTTCAATCACTTGCAAATGGTGAAGAAAACTCAGTAAATTTAAATACAATAGCAAATCCGTTTGTAATGGATTTACTGGACAAACTTGATCGCCATGAAAAGAATTTACTAAAAGAAATCGATCAGATAGTTCTTGAACGAGCAAAACCAGAAGGAATTAAAAAAATATATTCAACAACACCTCAAAATCGCAAAATTATATTACGATCAATCCTTGTTTCTAATTTAATTAATGATCTTGAGCAACAAAAAGAAAAATTAATCAAGGAAAACAAAGAATTACTCGATTTTGTTCAAATGTGTCAATAAAACAAAGTTTATGTAAAACTATCCCATTAATACTAGAATATATATAGTAAAATGTTACTTTTGTCTGTATTCATATAAAAATGTTTAGAATGAAAATTAAATAAAAACGAAGACTAAAATTTGTTTAGTGAATTAAATCAAAAATCGCTCTAATCAGAGCGGTGGTGCCAGTTCTTTCTCTTTTCGGACTCAACCATGTGCATAGCCTGGACTGGGCAGACGGAGTGGCAGAGTGCGCAGCCAATGCACTCATCGTGGTTGACCTTCCACTTGCCATCAATAAGGTGGATGGCCTCGACAGAGTTATCGCGGCAGGAGAGAGCGCATTTACCGCATTGTAAGCATGTTGCATCATCGATTTCGGCGTGGAGTGTCCATGTGATATCGAAGGACTCGCGCTGGACGACGTACTTAGCGCCTAAGCCGCGGAGTTCGGCGAGTGTTGGAACCTTGCGGTCCTGCTTTGTATCCTCTGGGATTGGAACCTGGATTGGGAGTGTCTTCATCTCTGTGTAGTGAGAGAGACGAGCGCGGAGATCTGGGCGGCTCCATGAGTAGAGGTAGAACTGGAGGCCAGCGTTGACTTCGCGGACGATGTCGTATGAGAATCTCTGGATGGCAGAGCACATCTGGAAGACGGATGAACCAGCGTAGAGGTGCTGGAGAGCTGTGTAGCCAGAGCCGATACCACCGATACCGAGGATTGGCATCTCTGGGAACTTGTTGTGGACACGAGAGATCTGGCGGAGGGCGATTGGGCGAACCTGGTCACCGGAAAGACCACCAGAAAGGACGTATTTCTCCTTGCCGACCTGTGGGAGTGGTGTGCCATCTGGCCAGAACTTGGCAATGCCGGAGACTGTGTTGATCATAGCAACACCATCAGCGCCACCTTCGAGAGCTGCCTGAGCAATGTCGATTGGGTCTGTGATGTTTGGTGTAAGCTTGACGAAGAATGGAACTGTTGTTGCCTCCTTGACGTACTGGGAAATACGCTTGACAGAGACTGGGTGTGTGCCGAGAGCCATACCGATCTTGTTCTCTGTGTCGAAGCCACCCTTGCAGCCACCTTCTCCGTGAACTTCGTTAGGGCAGGAAAGGTTGAGTTCGAGGGCATCAGCACCAGCTGCGATGACATCCTTGACGAGGTTCTGCCATCTTTCCTTGGAATCTGATGTAGCGATGGAAGCGACGAGGACGCGGTCTGGGAACTCAGCCTTGAGCTTCTTGATTGTGTCGAGCCAGTATTCCTCTGTGTGCTCTGTCATCATGCAGATGTTGCAGAATGAGCCAGATGGGCCTGGGTTCTCATCAGCCTTGACAATTCTGAAGTCGTTCTCACGGATGACATCCTTTGTTGGAAGGATTGTCTTTGTGACAGCCCAACCCATGCCAGCCTTGAAGCAGTTGCGGATGCACTCGTATGTGCCGGAGACTGGAGCGGATGAGATACCAGATGGGTTCTTGAACTTCATGCCGCAGAACTCTGTTTCGAGGGAAACGTGGTCGACTTCTGTCTCGAAGCATGGGATCTCGCGCTTCTCGCCGAGGTAGTCAGCGATCATGCGGGCAGCTGTTCTGGCATCGTTGACAGCTTCGACAACTGTGAGTGACTGAGCGAGGTCACCACCGACGAAGAGCATGTCTTGGCCATCGACCTTCTGGACGTTGATCTTGCCTGGGATGAGCTCTGAGTGCTTGCCGATCTTAGCACCGAAAGCAAGGATGACTGTATCGAACTTGCGTGTGATGAATTCGTCTAAGCCGCGGTACTGGCCGTTGTTGTTTTCCTGAAGACGGAATGTGATTGTGCCGTTATCGATGGCTGTTGGCTGAACAAGGGAAAGGAATTCGACACCTTGTTCAAGGAGTTCGTGTAATTCGGCTGGGTGAGCGCGCATGCCCTTGAAGTCCTTACGGAAGGCAACTGTGACGTTACCACCAAGGCGGGAGGCAGCAGAAGCGCAGTCCATAGCTGTATCACCAGCACCGAGGACGCAGACCTTCTTGCCTGTGAAGTCTGGGAGTTTCTCGCCATTCTTGAGCTTGAGGACGCCGCAAACTTGGCGGAGGAAGTCCTTGGATGTAAGAGCGCCTTCGCATGGGAAGTCTGGAACGATTTCTTCTGGACGGCCGAAAGCGAGGAAGACTGCCTGGTATCCTTGCTTCTTGAGGTCTTCAACTGTGAAGTCCTTGCCTAAGCTCTTGCCGAGCTGGAACTCGACGCCTGTATCTTTGGCCATCTGAACTTCCCACTCGATATCTTCTGTTGGAAGACGTGTTGGGATGAGCTCTGACATGAGAAGACCACCAGCAAAGTTGTCAGCTTCGAAGATTGTAACTGGGAATCCGAGACGGCGAAGGAAGACACCGCATGAGATACCAGCTGGGCCAGCACCGACGATAGCGACCTTCTTGCCATTGGATGGTGGGCATATTGGCTTGATCTTGAGCTCACGGAACTTGCGGAGTGCGAATTGTTGGATCTTGGATGTCTTGATTGGGCCTTCAAGGGAGTTGTTCAAGTTGCAGCCACCAGCGCATGTTTCTTCGATGGCGCAAAGAGCACCTGTAGAGAGTGGCATTGGGTTCTGGCTAAGAACGACCTTGCCGGCATAGTACCAGTTCTTAACTGATGCGGCGTGAACGTATTCTCTAACGTCGACATTAGCTGGGCAGCATGTATTGCATGGTGGGTTGTAGCAGAAAATGCAGCGGGAGGCCTCTTTGACGATATCGTCTTCTGTTGGAGATGGTCTTGGCTCAAAACCAAGAATCTTTCCGAATTTGTTATGGACGAGGTCCTTGCGAGCGCAGCGTGCCTCACAGGTCGAGCGAATAGTAACCTTGCTATCCTCTATATCCATTACTAAGGTAATAATGAAGTGAAAAATCCAAAGGCGCTTTCAATTTATATTTCTGAGCCATATCGCTTTCATCGTTTTCTTTCAATGGTTTTGAAATTTCTGTAAATACTCAGTGTATCAGGAATGTAATTAAATTGTTGTTTATTTCAATAATTTGATAAAAATTTGTATTAACGATAAAGAAATAACCGATTATTTTATTCTTAATATACACAGTGTGAGGAATAAGAATTTAATAATTCAGATATAAATTCTCAAAATTTTTATAATGAAATTTGACTATACGATACTTTTTCTCTTTCTTTAACTAAAACAATTCAAGCATTTCTGAAATTTACTTTCGTTTCAAATTTGAACTCCTTGTCAATTTTATTTTTCTTTTACTTGACCTGTAATTAATAATCTTGGAGAAATTGAACCTTACAAGCAATGATTAGTCTACCCAATCCAGAGCATCTATGCATTAAATATCAAATAAATTAGGATTTACAGGTCCAGTCAATTCACCTCGTATTTATCCTGTTTCTGACAACACATGTTTAAAAGAGAGATTATTATACTAAAAATGTTGCTAAAGCTGATGCTTTTCTGTAATTAAGTCGTTGTTTTATTTAATTTCAGTTCTTCCTCGGTCAATAATTAGTATTTTTTAATATTGAAGTGCAAATTCAATTACAATATCAATGGTCTATTTCATCAAATTGTGATTTTATAAAAATTTGTTTGGAATTGACAGAAATTGATATTGTTTTGCTTTTAATGATTGATTAATGAACAACAAACTGAGGAAAGATTAAGTTTGGAAATCTTACTAAGTAGATAATGAAATTATTAAGATTACCTTTCTAAGGTAGTCACAAAATCTAAGTAGTGAGTCTCTCAAAAATTGAACCGTACTCCATACAAAATTTGTGTACCCTCACTACTTAGATTTTGTGGCCTTCAATTGAGAGGTTAGTTTTGATAGAGCACGTTATAAAATTAAAAGGGAAAAATAAATAAAATTTAAACATTTAATTATATATAATGTAAGGAGTGTAATTCCAAATTTTCTAAAAACTATTCAAATTTGAGCATTTTTTTGGAAATAGTAAATCTAATATGTACATCTAATAACAACATGATTCATCACCTTTTCAAGCTCTGCAGTCAATTTTTTGAAATTTGATTGAAATAAATGTAGCAAAAATTACATTTCATTAGGGAATATATGAGTTTCTCTGGAAACAGGCTGATAAATTTTAAATTTTGTCCAATCAACATGAATGCATTGAGAAATTTGGATTGATTTTCTGGTAGAATCTGGAACAATTCAACAATGTATAAATGGATCATGTAATCATCATGAAATGTTAGTGTTAGAGTTCAAAAGAAACAGAATGAGTGGAAATCAAACACAATCTGAATAATTTTAAACGTATACGATCTTTAAGTTTGTATTTTGAATTCTACATATATGATTGTGTAATTCGTTCTTTCAAATTTTCGGATTCAGGCATGTTTTGATAAAATTCATTCCCAAAAACGTCAATTAACAATTAAATTTAGTGTATTTTAAATATATATACGTATTATATTTTATAAATTATATTAAATTCGCAAAATTTTAAGTTTTAAACAAAAATAAAAAATGTTCAAAATATGAAATTATGCATATGATATTAAAATTTACATGTTAGCAATTTTTTTGAATTGCTTTCAATTTTCATATTGAAATTTTTAAGATTTTTTTCTGAAATAATAAGCAAGAATATCAACCTAAATAATATTAAATTCCATGCGTTAATTTCCCCTCAAAAGTCATTGACCGCCTCTCAATCTAGATTTTGTGAGTACTTTACAATATACAGTTAATCCATCATTGCTTATATTTTTATGCGATATTAGAATAAAATTAAAGTTCTATAGTATTAATACTTAATCCGTATGTTGAAATCATATCGTATCATTCTTTCATCCATCATAATCTCAATTCATTAATTATAACTTGGTTTTCCTCAAGCATTGAATTGCCTATTGCCATAATACTATCAAATGAAAAATGAAATGTATTACAAGTAATTTGAATTAATCGTTCACAAAATTTGACAAAAAAATATGAGCAGCATATTATCAAGTGTGAAGCAAATGCAAGAGGCTGACCGTCGTGCAATTCATGAGCTTGGAATCCCTGGATGCGTATTAATGTACAATGCCGCTAAGTGTGTAACAGAACATATCAAAAATAAGTATCCTGAAACTAACAACTTCGGAATTCTCTGTGGAAAAGGCAACAACGGTGGAGATGGATTTGCTATTGCCCACATTTTGTCAATTGCCGGCAAATCTGTTCGCGTTGTTGCACTTGCAAAGGAAAACGAGTATGTAAACGACGCATTACTCTATTTGAAGCTTGCTTTAAAGGAAGGAATTGATGTCAGATTCCCGAATTCTATTGAATCCTGCATAGAAGAAACAAAGAAACTTTCTAACTGCGATTTAATTGTCGACGCTCTTTTAGGCACAGGAACTCGCGGAGAAATACGTGAACCATTCAAATCTGTTATCAACAATATCGCAAAAGAGCCAAAAATCGTTGCAGTTGATCTCCCATCAGGAATGAATGGAGATACAGGCGAAATTTGTGGTGCATGCGTTAAAGCTCACTCTACAGTTACATTTGCTGCTGCCAAGAAAGGCATTGTTGGCCATCCAGAGTACACTGGCGAATTAATCGTCGGAGATATTGGTATGCCACCGATTTGTTTGAATGATGATGAATGGTCAAAGTTTGTTGCTAAACAGACTCAGTAAAAACTTGCAAATAAGGCCTTAATTACAAAATTTAGTTTTTTTATAATCACATTTAATTTAACACTTACCATGGCTATACCCAATTGATCTCATTGGATTTTGAAGATTTTCATATGAGTAATAAATATGTTTTCTGATATTTCTATAATTAGACTTCTGAAATATCATATATAATTGGCCGATTACTTATAATATAACATGTAAAACGAAAATTAAGGTAATTCATCCGCCATTTATAGAAGAAAAATGAGAAAAGTTAATTTTCTCATTAATTATACAAAAATGAAGTAAAACTGTAGAGATTATAGACTAAATGCTGATGTTTAAACTGTATACGTGTCTTTACTCGAAGAGAGCTGGGCTTGAAGCGCCGATACGAGATGCACCAGCAGCAATGACAGCATGAGCAGCCTCCTTTGTGCGGATTCCACCAGCAGCCTTAACGCCGAACTTTGGACCGACAACTTTTCTCATGATTGCGACGTGTTCTGGTTTAGCGCCAGCTGTGCCGAATCCTGTAGATGTCTTGACGTTGTGAGCGCCGCCAAGGACTGTAAGGATGGAAGCATCGATGATCTGTTCCTCGTTGAGGTAGCATGTTTCGATGATGCACTTGACGTAGCACTGTGGAACTGCAGCGACGATTTCTGCAATATCCTGACAGACTTTCTTGTAGTCGCCTTCAATGAGAGCACCGATATCAATAACCATGTCGATTTCGATTGCGCCGGCAGCAGCAGCTTCCTTAGCTTCGAAAGCCTTGGCAGCTGATGTTGTAGCACCGAGTGGGAAGCCAACAACGGAAGCAATGCGAATATTTGTGCCAGCAAGCTGCTCTTTGCAGATGTGAACACGGTTTGGATTAACGCAAACAGCGATTGTTTGGAACTTCTTGGCCTTCTCACAGAGGTTGATGATGTCCTGTGTTGTTGAGAATGCTGTAAGAACTGTGAAATCGATGTGCTTTGGAAGATTGGCTGGGTCTGGGCAGAATGTTGGGTCTTCTGGGGCATGAGCAAGCTTCTCACGAACTTCTTCGGCTGTGATGCCAAGTTGCTTAGCAACGTATTCAACACGCTCTGGATAATCCATGTTTTTTGAAAGTGAAAAAAAAAATTCATCGTTTTTGCTAAAAGTGGCGAAAATTCAATAGTTTACGAGCCAAGAATATGGTGAAATCGTGAACTTTCTTATATTATACAATAAGGGTTTCGTTTTGCGAAAAAAACGTACAATACGCAATTTCGCTAAAAAAACATTTAGCTAGCAATTTCGACCTTTGACTCCACTCAAGACGTCACTTTTTTAATTTTGCGGTATCATATTTTTGGAAAATCTTTATGAATATTATATAAAAAGTCTTTTTAATATCTATATTTCATATTTTTATCGATTTTTAAAGTTTTTGCGAAAAGTATTCAATTATTTTTGCTATTTTGTCGGGTAAATGTCAGATTTGCGACATTTTCTGATATGATATTCAGATTCTACGTTGATAATAATGCTTATAGAACCCTCTTGCTATTGTGTCAAAATTGCGAAACCGATAGCAAAAATATCTCGCAATATCAAAATTGAGATATTGAGTGAATTATGCATTATAGAGATTAAAAATCTGATTTGTGAAAACATCTCATCAGTTTCTAGCTAATTCAAAAATCTTTATTATCTTATTCGATTAAAATGAAAAGGGAATAGTTTCATTATGCTTTAAATGACAGCCTTATAATATAATCATAGTTTTCGCTCAATATGCAGCATTTTTTTTTCGAAATCTATGGTCAATATCCTAAATACTGATTGCTTTGCATTCATATCTCTTACATTTTCTATACCCACATCACTATTCATTGCTATTCCTATCTTTTTCATTTTTGTTTGTTTCTCATAATTTCTCAAAAAACATGATAACTTGATATTTGTAAATATCATACTTTATAACGTAAATAAGAACTTGACCTATTAAGAAAAGCAGTAATGAAAAGAAAATCTGAAATTCATAAAAATTACAAGTTTCTGATGACAATTAGCTTAATTAAACCAGGTACAAGATTATATAATTGTATTTTCTATCCAATTATCCATATAATATCTTATCCAGAAAAAATAACTTGATCAATACCAAATGATTTTTTAACTAGTAAATAAAGTATTTTCTTTACACACACATTGTATATCATAGTTTTTTTTTTTTGGTTTCGCAAAACATCCAAAAACAAATATGCTATAAAAGTGACAATTTTAGCAAAACGAAACCCTTATATACAAGAAATGATTGCTTTTGATTAATTCTAATCCAAAGGAGATAGCTCATAATTTCATTTTATTATTATTTTCAAATGGATTCGTTGGATCAAAAAGATGTTGTAGCAATTCTTGAATACTTTGGCTGGAACTGGGATTTAGCTGCAGATCATCTTCAATGCGATCCAAAACAACTTTATGAAGATTATTCTCAATTTCAAACGAAAAGACCAAATGTTTTAACTACAGAATCAGCCTTTGCAGCAGGCCATATCTCAAAGGAGTCAGTTAAAAAGTCGCAGCTGTTTATTAAAGAGCATCTTGCAGAACAACTTCCACTTTTATTCAAGAAAGACTTATCCGATGAACAGAAGCATGATATAGCTCAATCCATACTTGTTGATATGGGATTTACTTATAGATTACTCCATTCTCAAGAATTTATTGATGCTTATAATGCCATCGAAGAAGAAGCCCTTCAATTAGAAAAATGGAGAGAACAAGGACAATATCTGACGATCCTTGAAGATGCGTTATATAGAATTGTTGGTGCCCATATGAACAAAGAAAAGTCTCAGTAATTAGAGGAACAAAAGAGGAATGATAGTGAATCGAATTGTTAGATATATTTACTTAGAAAAGATTAAAATAAAATAGAAATTGCAAATAACTACAAATAGTCATATAAATATAGTAATCAAAATATAAACATATCAGAACGATCCATTGTGGTCATGTTATAAGGTGTTAAAATCAAATAAGTCATTTACTAAAAATCTAATTTGACATATCAATAAAGATTGGACTTCAATCATACTTAAAGTTTACTTTGTCAGTAACTTTTTAAGTAGAATAAGGCTGTTTGTGAAAACTCATAATAATTCGCGTGTAATTTGAAATCCATCAAAATTTCTAATCGATACATTAAGTTAGCTACTTGAGAGGTATCCCTTCTGAAATTTGCAGATGTTTTGAATGGAATTAGATATTTTTTTGGAAAAATAAAAATTTCAACATTTTATTAAATAAACAGAAATTGTTTAAACAAAGTTATGAGCAGTTTCAGCGCCCAAGTATGTTATACATTACATTCTAAGTTTTAAAATAAAAAACATAAATATTTTTAATTCTTCTGTCTAATTCAATGTGTTCTCTCAATTTTGAGAGAAAATTTGAGAACCTCGCGGAAGAATTTTAAAATGATTATAAATTCAGTTAATTGAAGAAGGCAAAGACATTGAAGAAGCATTTGGCGATTGTTTCTGTTCAATTTCTTGTTTATTTGTTTCTTCTTCTTCCTCGTAAAATGAAAAAATGTCTGGATCACTTTCATTTTCTTCATTTGTTGGATTTATTTCCTGTTTTTGGTCAGAAACATTTGATTTGCTGCCAAGTTTCGCATCTGATGTAGCTTTACCTTCTGGTTGGTCAATAATATTTGATTTGGTATCAAAATTCAAATCTGAAGTGAATATATCTTCTTCTTCAGGATTTTCTTCTTCATTGTCAGTGATGTTAGATTTCGTATCAGGTAGGATGTCTGATTTTGTCTGTTCTTGCTGTTTTACGAAATCTTCTTCTTCATTTTCTTTTTCGTCGAAACTGAAGTCTGATGCCATGTTCTGCTGTTGTGGAATAATTGAATCTTCATTGTTTTCATCTTTTTCTGTGGTTTTTTGTTCATTTGAAATTTGAGAATTTTCCTCAGTAGTTTTAGGTTGTTCAGTATCCTCTTCTTCTCCAAATGACTCTGTATTTGTATCTGGAAGGGATAAATGTTCGGATTCGTTTGAAAAATCGATCGTAAACGAATTTTTAGTTATTTGCTGTTTTTGTAGCTGAGGAGTTGTATTATTTTCGTTATTATCCACTTCGTATTCGTATTCGTATGTTTGGTCTTGGTTTTGCTGTGAAGATTCGTTGTCTAGAGAAGGAACAGGAATATCATCGCCAGTGAACGTTGTAGGATGACTTCTACGATGGGAATTAGATTCTGCTGACTGACTCTGTCCGATTCCTGACTGTTGAAAGGCTGGTTGCTGCTCAAGACTGTCATCATAAGATTCAGAACTTAATTTAGGATGAATATCAAAGGAAGAAGTCTGTGGGTATTCTCGTGAGCTGTTTGCTGATGATTTCTTTGGTGTTTCAAGTACACTTCGAGAATTGGTGCTTGTTGGGGAAACAATTGGAGATTCTGTGAGCCTTTCCCTTGGTATTTCAATTGTAATGTGTTCTAAAGGCTTTTCTTCTTCGATTTTATATCCCCATTTCTTTGCAAACTTTTCAGAAGGTGAATCATTAATTGAAGATAATTGGATTGGATAAATTTTAGGGAAAAGGTTTTTGGTTCGGGGTGAATTCGATATGGGTGATGGTTGAGATGTCTTTTTGGCTGGAGAACTTGATTGAATTTTATCTAATTTTTTTATTGCTTCATTATATGTTTGTTGAAGAGAATTTCTAAGATTATTCAGCTCAGTGCACTTGTTTTGGTATTCAGACTTAATTTCATCAATAGGTTTAAAAGGAGAGCTTCTCTTCGAATAAATCGAAGACATTTCAATAAAAAATAAATATGTTGAATTTTGAAATAGAGATTTATATTGTATGGATAAGAAGAACAATTTTCTTTTAAGTATAACTGATTAGTTTTTTAAATGACTACTTCTGATTATAAGTATGACGACGAGAGCCAATCAAATATATCGGCCCAAGCACAGCCAGATTTTCTCGATTCTATTGCTCAATTGCATGATTGCTATCAAAATATCACTAATTCTATCGATTTGGAATATAATTTAAATTTATTTCTTAAATTACTTAAGAAAAAAGAAGTAAAAGATTCAGAACTTGATGAAGATATCCAAGATTACTTTACATCAGCGATTTTATCATCTAATTCCAATCAATATTTTTTATTATACATAAAGATAATTAAAAACTTACTGCAGAACTCACACAGTAAGAAATTAGTACTCAGATGCTTTAATGAGCAAATGGATAGTTGTCTTCAAGAAATAATTTCCTCAAATTCTGATGCAAGCATCGTTTATAACTCAGTTATTATATGCAGCTATATTGTATCTGATAGAATAACATCTGCCAAGCTATCCGATTTTCAACTAACTCAACATACTATTGATATTTTGAGCAATTTTGTTGAGAAAAAATCAAGTAAGTTATTTAATGCCTGTATATCGATAATAGCAGGATCCACTCAGCTTGAAGAAAATGCTCCATTCGTTCAATTTTGTGTTGATATTTGGAATCCAAGCATCAGCTTGAAATTATTATATGGATTCATCAAAATGCATAAATCCGAACTAAACAATATATTCCCATTCCTTGCTGCTTCTGATGTTTTCATTGAAATTTTATCTTTTACTATTTCAAGATTAGATAGAGAACCTTTTCCAATTCCTCTTGCTCCACTCTTTTTAGATGATCAGACATACAATGCTTTATGTATTGCGTACAAATGTCTTAGATATTTAAAGGAACCAGATGAATTGATACAATTCATTGATGTTGAGGGATTATTAGATAATATTAAAACTACATTTGTACCAAACATTCAAATAATGTCATTAAAAATCATCAGATTTCTGATTCCAAAGAGAGATTTACAACCTCAAATAATGGATGCAAATCTTGATCTTATGGCATTGCTACGTGGAAGAGTGGAAGTCAGAGCAGAAGTTACAATATTCCTTTCTATTCTTTTTGATAAATATCGCGATCTCCCTATTTTAGAAATAATAACACCTGAAATACTCAATGAAATCATTAACCTGATATCAGATATATCCCAGAGATATACGCAAAATGCAATTTTCTGTTTACAAAGTTTCATTTCTATTTTCGAAAGGCATGAAATCGTTGAACCACAAGAAATTATTGGTTCCCAAGAACTATATGATGCATTGCAAGAATGCTTGGAAGATGAAAATATCTCTGATAACATGTTTACAGTTGTTTCAGATCTTATTCGCGAAATTAAATATTATCTAGCTCAATTCAAAAAATCTGAACTTAAGTTATAATTATAATATACAAATGACGAAAAAAGTCACAATTTTTTACAATTCATTATTCAGATTGCGCTTCCACTCATGTATATTTTTCAATCATAATTATCCACATTTAGCATCGACCGAGTCCATTTTTTAAAAAGTTTCCGAAATCAATCAAAAATTATTCATCAATGGTATTCCATTCAAAGAATGTTATTCAGCTATCGTTTGGCTGAACTTCAATGTCCTGTTGCATGCTCAGTAGTGTCAATGTGTAAACCTCTCAATTTTATCGTCGGGGAAGCAACACAATTCCCTCAAAAATATTGAAAAAATATAGAAAATAAAATGAATTAAGATGTACTTAAAATGAGAAATAGATTATGATATTAGATTTTAGAAAAAACAGACTTTTGATATAACTTTTGAGAATCTCATATAAAAAAAGCATTTAAAAATAAATTTAAATATCTTATTTATTTTACTATTGTAAATATATTCTGAGATTTTTAGAAAAAAACACTTTTCATAAGTATTCAATATTTGAGAATACGGTCCAAAAAAAATAGATTCTCTTATATTTGCTTATATAAAAGGAAACTCTCTATCAGATGCGAATGCATGAATTCAGCACCTCTGATAGAGAGTTTCCTCTTATATAAGCGGATCTTTTTCATGAGTTATTGTTAATATAAAAACATAAAAAGCTACCAATATGAGAAATTAAACCCTGCGAGGCACCAGTCTAGAACTGGCGCTTCGCAGGGTTTAATTTCTCTTGACAAATGACAAAACTTGTTCGCAATTGTGAACCATTGCGAGCAAGTTTGCCAGATATCTGGAAGGAATTGCTCCTTATGATATATGCATTGTAACTGTATATATCATAAAGAGCAATTCCTTCAATTAAACGCAAAAACTTTGGTGCAATCGTTGCTGATTGCACCAAAGTTTTCGAACTTTCCCGAGGGAATTGGAGGGTGAGAGATACATAGTCTATCTATGTACCTCCCACCCTCCAAATCCCACTCTAAATGGGAGAAACTTTGTTCGCATGTTATCTTATTCAAACAAAGTTTCTCCCATTTAGAGAAGGAATAGGAGCCTACCAGGCACTGATATATAATCAGTGCTTTGTAGGCTCCTATTCCTAATAAAAATTTGAAAACTTTGGAGCATTTGATTATTGTATTTTGTCAAGAGAAATTCAACCCTGCGAAGTGCCAGTTCTAGACTGGTGCCTCGCAGGGTTTAATTTCTCATATTGGTAGCTTTTTATGTTTTTATATTAACAAAAACGAATGAAAAAGATTTGCGTATATAAGAGGAAACTCTCTATCAGAGGTGCTGAATTCAGGCATTCGCATCTGATAGAGAGTCTCCTTTTATATAAGCGAATATAAAAGAATCTATTCTTTTTTGGAGCGTATTTTCAAATATTGAATACTTATGAAAAGTGTTTTTCCTAAAAATTTAATATAATGCTTAGCACAATATATAAAATTAAAATATCTATAATTATTTTCTATATCACACTTTTCATTACACCTTGAAAAGTCTTCTCAAACTCTATTTTTAATTATTTTTTAGATATATCTCAAGTGTGATTATTCAAAAACTCATATAGACTATATTTATTTTTTTCATTCAAAAAATTATATGAGAATCTCAAATTAACTTTCAAATTTTTTATTTTAAAAACATATTAATAATCATATTTTAAGATACTTTTTCGCCCAAAAAATAATCGTACTTCCTCGACGATTAATAGGATCTCAATTTCTATCGTTGACACTACTTAGCATGCAACAGTCCTTCATTCCTTTTGCTAGGAATTTTCCAAAATCTTGGACTCTCAAAAAATCAAGTAAAAAAAATGAGAAGAACGACCATGCAGTTTGGATAAAAATAAAATTCCCAATAAATCTATAGTATTAATAAATTTCGTAAGAGTGGCCTTCTTACTCTTCTTCTTTTTGAATTATAATTTTTCAAAGACCTCATTGAATTTATATTAAAGAAACGGTTCAGAATTTTACAATCAGATCATTACGATGCTTTCTACGTTTGTTATGTACCGCCTTCCCAATGTAAGGCCAAGAGTTAACGAAACCGTTCGTCAGCAGCTCAAGCGCCTCTATGGAGCTCACAAAACTCTCGGTTACAACGAAGGCCGCAAGTTATCGTACAACAACGTTGAGTGTGCAAACAACGAGATGACTCTCATTTACGTCAGCACACCATATCCATGGACATGTGGCTCAAATAAGATGCCATCTTCAACAGACGTCAACGCTGAACACATTGTTCCACAGAGTACATTTGATAAGAAGGAGCCAATGAAATCAGATATACACCATCTCTTTGCCAGCCCTTCAAAGATTAATAACATGCGTGGAAACTTACCATACGGTGAATTAGATCGCAACACCTGCAAGTACTGGTGCAACAAGAACCAGTGCCAGAATTCTAAGCCTTCGAACCCAGCAGAATACGATTGCATCTCAGCAACAAACTTCATGCCAATCGACCAAGATAAAGGTCGTGTAGCTCGCGCAATCTTTTACTTCTACACTGTATACGACCAGTACGACATCTCAAGTAAGTTCGATGTAGCCCTCCTTAAGAAGTGGAATTCGAACAATCCTCCACAAGCATTCGAAATTGCTAGAAACGACCGCGCTAACAAGACACAAGGCAACAGAAATCCATACATTGACGATTTCACACTCGTTGATAAGGCTTTCTAAAAGATTCTGAATATTATTTCCTCTCACAAAAATAATCCCTTGATTTAATCAAGGTTTTAATAAATACTTTCATGAGACTTTATTTTCTTGCTTTTTTCCATGTTAATCTTATTCAAAGTTCACATAATTTAAGGCATTTTGTTCTATTGCATTCAGAATTAGATGAAATAGTGGTTACTTATATTTCTTTCAACATCTAATTTGAATTCATGCTTAGATTCAACAATTTAATTTCATGTTAGAATTCAAGATTAAATTGAACACAAAATTATTTGTTTTACGCATAAGAATTCATAATGTATGAGTGATGGTTAGCTCACATAACCGGATTTTGCCTTTACTTATAAGAATTCTTGTAAAATCTATTCTATTTAAATAAAATGAACAGACAACAATTTTTATTATAACAAGATTTCCTAGGTAATGAGATACATTTTTGAATAATGAAGAATATATTATTAAAATCGAAGCCAAAATGATCCTCAGTGTTTGTATGATGCATGATTGAAACATGGTATAAGGTAAATATCAATGCTTTGTTAAAGCAGAATAGCTCTCGATCATTCCATTAGTGATTTGCTGAACAAGACTAATAACAGTATCAATTGGAACTAAATCATCAAATGCTGGATCGTTAAGGTTCATTTTCAGGTTAGCTTCTGCATGTCTTTGAAGCATATCTAAAACCCATTGGAAATTTCTGCCACAAAGCTGTTGAATTTGTAGAAGATCGTATAACCTTTTGACAGCATCGCCATCAATGAATTTAATTTCATCAGATTCCAAAACTTGAAAAGAAGTCGAAATTGCAATCATAACCCAGTCTTTCAGAGCATCTTTATTTTGATCTATCAGTATTTTACATAACGTTTCCGTGCAATAGGCGCCACATTTATATCCAAAATCGCAATCGTTTGGATCTAATTGTGCACTTTGTAAAAATCGTATGAATTTTTCAATATCAGATTTATTAACATATCCATCTTGATCTCTGTCTAATGTGTATAAGAAAACTATTGAATTTTCTTCAATATCGTGATTTTCCATAAGTCTGATCTTGTTTAGCTTAAATATTGGGATTTTATCTTCTTCCTCATCCTCTCCACCACATATTTCTTTCTGATAGTATGCTATTGAGTTCGTAGCGGAAATTTCGTTTCCCATAAAAATATTGTTGACAAAAAAAAACGAATTTGTTCAAAGTATTTGCACTTGTTTCTAACCAAATATTAAGCCTAAAACTCTATCTAGAGACTGTATATAAAAGGTTATATGTAGAAAGCTGAGAATAGAGAAAGTTGGCTAATACAATCTTGTGATATATTAAAGTCTCGAAACATCGAAAGATATTTCTTAATTATCAGTATGCGGCTATTAAGCACAAAAAATAGATCAGTGATATATCATAAAAAGAACCTTATTCCAATACAATACAGTAAAATTTATAAATTTTTTAAAAATTATATATAATTGAAACTTATCATATAATAGACTTAGTAGCAATAAGTTCGGTGATCTTATAAGTCAACTACAATTCTAACTTTGCGCATTTTTCCTTCCAATATGAAGATAAATAGGACTAAAAACTTAATTTAAACTATTTGCATTAGGATATTTTACTAGTTTAGTGCATGCTTGTTTACTTTATAATATATTTGTTTCAACATTGCATTTAATTTAGATGGATTTTTGATATTGAAAATATATTGTTATCATCATCTTAAAATTTATCATGTTAGATGATAAGAAATAAAACTAGCATACTCTGTCTTTTGTATATCGAACTTGAAAATTCCAAAAAAAATTCGAAAAAAACAAAAATAATATTAAAATACTCGGTTTTTTAGTTGAAATAATAGATTTTCAGAATTTTTTGAAAAATAAAAGTGCAATATTATTATTAAAACTTTGAATCTGAAACTATTTTAAGTGTAAAAGACAATTTTTTCGGTCTCAAATATTAAATATTTTCATTTTCTAATTTGTAAAGTAGTTCAAAACTCATATATTATGATACAAATTCCAATAGCTGCACAAATTTTTAAATTTTTAAAAAGTAAATTTAATTTGCTTTAATTTTAACCACAATAAGTAGATAGAATAACCATATCTTACTACATTCATAAATGATTCGAAATGACTATAGTTTTTTTTTATAGAATAAGATTTCAATAAAAATATCATAAAAAACAATAGGCAATCAATAGGTAGAAATGAAAAGTATAATACATTATAATAACAACATTTATAGTAGTATTAAAACAACATTTCTTTTGGAATTTCAATTGTACTCACAAATTCTCGTTGCGCGGTAGCATATTTCTTTCTTATTGCTTGAAATCTAGATGCTGCCGCATTTTGAATAGATTTATGTATCATATTCATAATTTGGCTAATATCTTTCATAGAATATCCAATTTTTTTCTCAAAGTCTTGATTCAATGATGATGCATTATGTGTTATTTGCATAGCATAAAAAATGATAGCAGCTGTAAGTTTTGAAGGTAGTATTCCTAGAAATTCGCTATCAAGTAATATTAATTCACTTATATAGTTTGCAAAGCTGTTCATCATAGAATCAGCGTTAGCGATTGAAATAAATCTCCTTAGAAATTGAGAGGTAACTACAGGATTGGTTGAGAACTCAAGAACATTTAATAATGAGCTTTCCATCCTCTGCAATCCAATAACAGTAAATGAATCACCAGCATAATGAACCAATTTTTCACAATGTGGCGGGTGATATTTCTTCAGTTTTTGCAGCAATTAGAATGGCCGCTGTGCCAAGCAATTGGAACTTGCTTTTATCAAGGTCTCGTTCCATAAGATACCTATCAATGTAAGATACTGTGTAATAAAGTGTATCCTGCTGCATATTGAGTTTATTATGAACTTCAACTAACCAGTCTATTAAAGTTGCTCTCATCTTTGGAGTGATATTCGATTGATCTTCAAATAGAGATGGTTGTGGAAGATTGCTTCCTTCGATATCATTCAAATATTTATATATTTCATTTTCATAATCTGTATGGTCAGCTAAATTTTTACTACTTGAACTCGATCTTATATCATTTGAAACACTTGGAGCCTTTGTGCTTGTAATAGTTGGCTTTGAGCCAAGAATTGAATAAATTGTTGGCTTGACTTCACCTAATGGTACTCTAGTGGAAGTTTGATGATTTAATCCATTTACTCTTAATAGAACCCCTGCATTTGATGATTTTCTCGATGCTCTTGCTGGATGAATCTGTCCAATTGCCGAACTCTGACTCATCCTTTATTATCTAAAAAATGAATATAAACGTACACAAAATCTTTGTAAACTCTTTTGATGTAAACAATTTCTTTTAGATCAGAATTGGATTTACTTGTAAGATCATCATAATGCGATATTAATTCTTACATTAATTGATTTATAACATATAATATTCAGAAAAAAATCCTAGAATTTTGAGTTTTATTTGGGTTATACTTATGTGATACATATTTCAATCGAATATATAAGCTATCTCATTTAAAAATGTCCGTTTTATTACGTTATGAGATCGAATTTTATTCCATTTAGATAATCTTATGTTATTAACAAGCCACTTGAATAAGATATTTGTTCAATGGCTTGAATCCTGATCCATTTTTGCATTCAATAATATATAAAGTACAAAAGCTAGATTGAGAGGCGGTCAATGACTTTTGAGGGGAAATTAACGCATGGAATTTAATATTATTTAGGTTGATATTCTTGCTTATTATTTCAGAAAAAAATCTTAAAAATTTCAATATGAAAATTGAAAGCAATTCAAAAAAATTGCTAACATGTAAATTTTAATATCCTATGCATAATTTCATATTTTGAACATTTTTTATTTTTGTTTAAAACTTAAAATTTTGCGAATTTAATATAATTTATAAAATATAATACGTATATATATTTAAAATACACTAAATTTAATTGTTAATTGACGTTTTTGGGAATGAATTTTATCAAAACATGCCTGAATCCGAAAATTTGAAAGAATGAATTACACAATCATATATGTAGAATTCAAAATACAAACTTAAAGATCGTATACGTTTAAAATTATTCAGATTGTGTTTGATTTCCACTCATTCTGTTTTTTTTGAACTCTAACACTAACATTTCATGATGATTACATGATCCATTTATACATGGTTGAATTGTTCCAGATTCTACCAGAAAATCAATCCAAATTTCTCAATGCATTCATGTTGATTGGACAAAATTTAAAATTTATCAGCCTGTTTCCAGAGAAACTCATATATTCCCTAATGAAATGTAATTTTTGCTACATTTATTTCAATCAAATTTCAAAAAATTGACTGCAGAGCTTGAAAAGGTGATGAATCATGTTGTTATTCGATGTACATATTAGATTTACTATTTCCAAAAAATGCTCAAATTTGAATAGTTTTTAGAAAATTTGGAATTACACTCCTTACATTATATATAATTAAATGTTTAAATTTTATTTATTTTTCCCTTTTAATTTTATAACGTGCTCTATCAAAACTAACCTCTCAATTGAAGGCCACAAAATCTAAGTAGTGAGGGTACACAAATTTTGTATGGAGTACGGTTTTGATTTTGAGTTGCTCACAAAAAAATTGAAATCAAAAAAAATTTTATCATGATATTATCGTAACAAATGGCTACTGTTGAAGATCGTAACGGTGGGATATATACATCAGATTACACTACACTTTCGGGCACCATATCTGGTGCTACAAATGTAATTATTAATAGTCAAGCAAAATATATTGGTGTAAGTGCGTTCAATAATTGTACAAATACTCTTGTTTCCTTTTCATTCCAGGAAAATCCCAATCTTATTGAAATCAGAAATAATGCTTTTTCCGGGTGCATTAAATTACAAACTATTGATCACCGAGTATGCCAAAAATTAACAACAATTGGTGCTTCTTCATTTTCAGGTTGCAAATCATGCACCAATCTTTATTTACCATCAAGTTTGACAACTCTTGGCGATTCTGTGTTCAAAAATCTTAATATTGCTTCCATTGATCTACCAGAAAACCTCCAAAGCATCCCAAGCAACTGCTTTTACGGTGCCACTAGTCTCACAACAATTAATATTCCAATTGAAAGTCGAATTTCATCAATTGGCAAATGGTTTGGGATCTATGTTCCTCTCACCATTTTCACCATCACCAAAAATGTAATCTCAATCTCAGATGCCGCTTTTGAGCTCTGCAAAGTCTCAACTATTTCCGTAAGTTCCCAGAACAATGTTTTCTACTCTCAAAACGGCATTGTTGTGGAAAGGAGCACATTAACAGCAATGGCCTACCCATGGGGAAAAACAGACCCTTTGATCATACCTGATAATATAAATGCAATTAAAGATAGCGCTTTCTCAAATTGTCAATTTACTTCTGTCACTTTTCCTCAACAATCTCTGACAAAAATTGGCTCTTACGCGTTTCGTGGGACACCAATAATCACCATTGAAATACCAGATACCGTCTCCGTTCTTGGTGTTTATGCGTTTTCCTCTTGTTCAAAATTGACAAAAGTAAAATTGCCAAATTCAATAAAATCTTTACCAGATTATTGTTTTTATAGCACCAACATATCAAACATTGTACTTCCTAATACTATTACTACACTTTACAGCTTTTGTTTTGTAAATTGTCCAAATCTTAAAGAAATTACTTTGCCAGATAGCCTCAAATCTTTGAACGGCAAAGTATTTGATGATACAATTGAAATAAATTTCGGAGATAACTCAAATCTTTACATCGACAGCCAATTTTTAATTATTGACAAACAAAACACGACAATCAGCCAATATCTTGGCGAAAATAGTAAAAATATAAATATAAATATCCCGTATACAGTCACAACAATCAAAAAAGGTGCATTTAAAGATAAAAATCTCATTTCAAAAATTATATTTCCAGTAAATTCAATGTTGGAGACGATAGAAACAGAGGTATTCTCCAATTGTAACAATTTACAGTTTATTTCATTACCTACAACAACAATAAAGTCTCTTGGAGCAAGTTCATTTTATTGTTGCTATAAATTAACAGAATTTGTCAGTGGAATTCTCACATCAATTGGTAAATCATGCTTTTATAGCTGTATCAATCTCAATAGAGTTCAAATTCATGAGTCTTTGTCTTTATCTGTTTTACCAAACTCATGTTTTAGTCAGTGTTCATCAATTAGTACAATAACATTGCCAATCAACTTAAACTCGATAGAAGAAAGTTGTTTCATGGATTGCATTTCATTATCTGAAGTAGTTTTCCCTGCAAAATTAAATTCTTTAGCAGATTCTTGTTTTTCGAACTGTTCATTAACGAAAGTTGATTTATTTAAATGCACTTCACTAACTGTTATTAGTAATAACGCATTTAATTCTAACTTTAACTTAGAATTAGTAATATTACCACCAAATTTAGATAAAATCGGTAGATATGCATTTTCTGGCTCCGCTATCACTAATTTGTCGCTGCCTAATAGTGTTTCCATACTTGATCAGTTCTCTTTCATGAATTGCAAACAGTTGTCACTTTTTCAATTCCACAAAACTCGCAATTAACAACAATTGGTGTTGGAGTATTCAAAGGTTGTGTTTCCATTGAAACAATATCCTCCGAGAGCTCATCTTTCTCCATTGTCACTGGAGCTCTGTTTGATTCTCACCAAACAAATTTGATTTTATTCCCTCCAGCATCACCAGTCAAATACTTCTCTATGCCGAGTAATACACAGACTATCAACGAAGGCGCTTTCATTGGCTGCAACAATCTGCTGAGCATCTTTATTCCGAGTAATAGCATCACGAGAATTTCTAACAGTGCCTTTGAAGATTGCGTCAACTTGGCTTGGCTGAATATACCAATATGTGTTAGCTCTGTTGGTGCAAATGCTTTTGAAGGCTGCATAAGCTTAAAGTGCGGCCTTCAAAGGAATTCATTTCTAATTTGGTGAATGTGGCAAAATTGAACCGTTTCGCTGTGAAGGCATGCATTGGACCTGATCAGACATGCAAATATCAGATGCGATTAACAAATACACTATCATTTACACATCCTTTCATAGTAATGATGTTATAAAAAAAAATTATATTATTTTATATTAATTTTGCCGTTCTTTCTAAATATTTTTAAATTAGGCCTAAATAAAATTGAGAAAACGGGCTGTTATCCTAAATACGGCTCAAAATTTGATGACAGTAAATTATTTTTTTTATTTAATATTCACGTTCGCAAACGAATAAGCCAATGACATATTGCTATTTGGACTTTTTTTTTCTTTTCAAAACAAAATTGCCAATATGATTCTCTCAGCTGAAAAGGCGACGTATAGTTGGTATTACATTACTTTGAATGCTCTCATGCATAGCTACACATTGGGGTTTACGACCTTTATTTTAGTTGCAATTTTTGTAATTCGTCAATTCATCGTTCAACTGCATTTTCTTGAACAATTCTATCTAGGTTTGAGATTTCAATGGTTAGCTGAGCTTTCTTTTCTTCCAATAATTCCAAAAGTCGAGAGCGGATTTTATTTTTCTCTTCTGGAGAAAGAGAACTCCATTCCTTAGTTGTTCTTGGCAAGTTTGAGAATTTATTATTTGGTCCGGTAGTTAAGAAATTATTATTCATGTTTGAAAGTAAATCTTCTATTTCATCTGTAGAGCCATTTCTCCTCCCAAGTATAAGCTCTTCAAGTTCATCAAATATTTCTTCGATTAGCTCTTGCCTGTCTTGAAGAGATTGAAAATTCATTTTAATTTTTTTTTTCTTTTTTGAAATCAATTATTTTTACGGGTGTGTATATTGAAGATACATCATTTAATATACGGACCATTGCCGTAGAGAATCGTTCAAAGAATTACTTAAGCAGAATCATCATAAGGAAATACATTTACAAGACAAATCATAGTTTTATGCAAACACAACTGATGATCTGTATTTTGAGTAGTCCAAGATAAGAAGCTCATCTCTTTCTAACAGATATTTTCACACTGCATAATGAAGAGCAGTCATTCCAACTATTTTTTGACTCCATTATTTTTTTTTTTGATGGAAAATTTTGATCTCTCAAGTTTGATTAGAGAGAGTCTTGTTTTTCCAGAATTGAAACCAATATCAGATACAACTCAGAAGAAACTAGACTATGATAGATATTTATCAGAAACTTCACCAGATTATTCAATAATTTACGATAAAAAAGAAAACAAGCTAAAGATTGCAAAAATTAGCAATAAAAACGTGAATATTATCAAAGGTCTATCCATTAAGATTGAAAACTTAGCTATTTTAGAAGATTTCTTAATATCTTTTTCAGAAAAGAACTTTTATTTCTCAGAAATACCAGAATTACTTTCAACAGAGCTTCCTTTTTCTGAGGACAATGCTTACAAATCAGAATTTACTCGATTAGAAAAAATTATTTCGACTCCTTCGACTCCTGGCTTCATTTACTACCTAGTTAAGGACAACAACATACTTTACAAACAGAAAGTCAACCCATTTGAACCGCCAATAGAAGTCTTTTCAGATGTTTCTTCTTTTTCAGCGACAGATAACCAAATCATCATTTCTCAGCTCGACGGAATCCATGTGTACGAATTTAATGACACAGAACTTACCCAAAACACAATAATCCCCGTGATTGACCCGATTTTTATTTCTGGCGGCAAAACAACATATTCTGTCATTACAAACTACTCCTTTACAACATACAACTCAATTGGAGACATTGTTTCTCAGAATTCATCCATTCCTACCCACATTTGCGAACATTCTTGTTCAAATACATATTATTACGGAAATCGAATCATTTTTACAGAGCCATACGAAGGAGAGATGAATAAAATTGCTTTAGCAGGGGGAATTGTCGGAAACAACTTTTATTTCTGGTCAAAAAATTTAGAATTCGGTTGTGATTCGATTCCAAGCACAAAAATTCATTGTCCGATCACAATTAAACATGACCAGCCAAGAACTACAAAACAAAACAACAAAAACGCTCCGAAACAACAAAATCAGCAAAATCAGAAAAATTCACCTCAAAAACAGCAACCACGCCCACAAGAACCAATCAACAAAAAGAAGAAAACAGGCAAGAAGAAGGAGCAGCCAGAAGAACCGAAAACTTTCCCTGTTTCTCAAAAATTGTTAATTTTTACAGTCCCTGACGGAAGTATTTCCAAAAAGATTCTTAACTCTGCCATTCTGCAGGGCGATGAGCCAGAGTGCTTCATTCCTGTCCCGTGTCTCAAGCTAAATTTATTCGTCATCAAGTCGATCCACTCGGATGAAGACGTAATTAACAAGATGAGGTCAGTCAAAAGGATCCAATCAGTCAGGTCTGTCCAAATGCGCGAATCTCCCAAAGATTTCTTCATTATTGCGTTTAATGATCCTCCAATTCACGAAGCAGCGGTCAAGAAGATATCGGAAATTTTCGGATTGGAGATAAAGCCAATTCTGAATGTTTTCCACTGCATTCCTGATCCAAAAAAGGAAACTTCTAAGTATTGTTTCTCTTTTCTTGACAATCTCGATGTAGAAGGCAAGGTTATCAAACTGTATAAGACGTTCCAGGATGTTCCCGTTGTTTTCTCTAATAATTTGGACAAAAATATCATTGATAAGATCAAAGAGCAGTATCCTTCGGTTTTCAGCCAGTTTGTCAATAAATATACTTTCAAACCGAACAATGCGCTTATATTCAACACGGTTGAAGCTGCAAACGAGCTTTGTGAAAACAATTTTGCAAAAATTAACAATAAAACCGTCAATTTCATCAGATTTACACCTGTTATGTGGACTGAAAAATCCCTGCACGTCTGTGTCTCAGGAAACATTAGCGAGGAAGAGCTATTTAGAGAATTACACCAAAATAACCAAAATGTAGTCCACGTTTTCAAGGATAATGGCAAGAATGTTGTTGTTTATCTAACACCTGAAGCAGCGAAACAAGGAAGAAACGAGTTTTCTCAAAGCAGGAAAATCAAAAATAAATCAATTACAATTATCAACTAAATATATATTATATTTAGCTTATTTTTATATTTTTGTTAGTTTTTTTCCTTTTTAATGTAAATTATATTTATAAAATTAACAGTATGACGTTTTTTCGAGTGTTGAGAACTCACTGGCGTGTTGACCTTTTTTTTAACATAATTGTACTTTGCTATTTGTCCTTTTAATATGAACATAACAATTTTGTATTCAAACCCAATCATATAATTGCGAGACTACTATATGTATATTTTTACACAGTTCTTTCAACTACATTGAAAGGATGAAAAATTTCAAAAATGATTTTATACATATTAAAGGAGGAACTTATTCGATACTTGAATAATATTGGAAAAGAAATAATAGTGATATTAACTCAACACCAGAGAAATAAATTGAAAAATATAGAAATTAAAAAAAAATTATAAATATTTATTCAGACAACTCATAAACAACACATATTGGATTTTCTGGGAAGCTCTTTTCACTCTTTTCGACTTCAATATTTCCAGAATTTGCCATTGAAACAGTTGAAGACTGTTCTTGCTCAGAATAAGCAGCATTAACAAATCCAACGAGTTTGTAATTAGCGACAGGATAAATTTTTTGATATTTTTCAATAACATTTTGAGATTTTTCATCAACTCCTTTATTTTGCGATGAAAATTCACTCCACGCTGCAATTCTTCCCAAAACTTTTAATACAGACTCTCTATTTCCGTTCATTGGAACAGAAATCAATTTTGGAAGGTTTTCATCGAGTTCTATTTTAGAATTTTGAGGATGCACGAATACTACAAGCTTTGGAACTGTAATAAACGCGTCATTTGTAATAGAGTCAAAAATAATTTTCTGAAATTCGCTTGATTTCGAAGATTTGTAAATGCAATTAAATGGAATTAATGTAGACATCATTTTAGCGGATAATATTTGATGGAGGGGATTATTTTCGTAATGAACAATTTGTTGGTAAGAATCATTTGAATCTTTATCTTGAACAAGGCACAATTGAGTAAACGCAACATCAGTGACATAAATAAGCTCCTTAATAAATTCAAAAATTGATTTAATTTTCCTTTTTGTGACAAAAAGTTCAATAAAGCTTATGTAGTCTTGCCCACGCTTGCATTTCTGAACTGCTGATACTAATCTGGCAGTTAAATCAATACATTCCTTATAATTAATAAAGTTATCATAACCAGACGTTTCTGGAGCAACCATTGGTTCAGTTTGATTAGGAATATTTTGTATTATGTCAATGTTAATCATGTTAGAAAACTCTTTGGTTGAAACTAAAAGAAGAAAAGCATTTTGATAAATTCCATTTGAAGAAACAACTTGGTTTGTTGAAAATAACTGTGGGAATTGCATATTATCGTTAGTTTTTTGCATATATTTAAATAAATTGTCTTCTTTTGTATTGTTAGTCTTCAGAGAATTAAAATTTAATGACATTTATGAAAATGAAAAAAAGAAAACAAAAATCATATATTACTCCCTTTATCATTCACTACTTTTCATATTATTTACATTTAATTTTTATTTTTTGTAATGGGAATTAAAGGTTTGCTTCCTCTTTTAACTCCTGTTTCAAAAAGATGCCATTTGAGTACATTTGCTGGTTTAAAAGTAGCAATTGATGGCTTTGTATGGCTTCATCGCGTAAGTTTTCGGTATCCAATTGAAATAATTAAAGATCCAACAACAAAAAAGATTTTACCATACTTAATGAGTCGTATTCTTTCTGTTAAAAAGTGTGGTCTTACACCTGTTGTTGTTTTTGATGGTCAAGCACTTCCAGCCAAGTTAATGACAAATCAGAAGCGTCAAGAAGAGCGACGTGAATCATTGCTTATTGCTCAACAGTTAGAAAAAGAACGCCGATTACCAGAAGCATTTGAATATTATCAAAAAGCAGTTTCAATCACTTCAGCAACTGTCTATACATGGATCAAAGAACTTAGAAATGAATGTATCGAGTATATAGTATCTCCCTATGAAGCAGATGCACAATTAGCCTATCTTGCAAGATCAGGATACGTTGATTGCGTTTTAACAGAAGACAGTGATTTAATTGCATATAGAACACCATTAGTACTATACAAACTTGATGATTCTTTACAAGTTACTTCGATCAGATACCAAGATGTTTTAAATTTTCTTAAATTAACACCTGACAACTTTACATCTCTTTGTATATTTGGTGGATGTGATTATTCACCATCTATTACAAATCTTGCTCTAAAGCGAGCTCTTAAACTCCTTTTAGAATACGAAAATCCAACAAATGTAATAATTGCTGCCAGATCTGACCAAAAATACACAGTTCCAGCCAAATTCGAGGATATGTTTAACATGGCATTCAAAACATTCCTTTGCGCTCGTGCATATGATCCAAGAACAGAAAAATTGGTTTTTCTTTCAGATCCTCCAGAAGAACACAGCTTCCTAGGGTCAGACATTGCTCCAGACATACTTAAACAGCTTGTTAAAGGTGAAATTGACACGGTTACTCTTGGACCATTCGAATTACCAAATTCTTCATCATCTGTGTCTCCTTACTTCAAAACAAACTCAGCTCCAAAGATCGAAAGCGTCAAAGTAGGAGAACCATCACAATCTAAGTATTTCAAGTGCACAAGACTCACTGAAAGACCTTTCCAGATTTCATTCAATGCTACATCATATTTACAAGCTATCAAACTAACAGTTAATTGAAAAACAAATTTAATTTTGATATTTATTTTTTTAATTTTACTTTCTCATAACACATGATATATACATTAATATATCAGTTTCAACTAAGGATGTCAATTCGGAAAATTGTTTTCATTTTAGGAGAATATAATTTTCCATTTGGAAAATTTAAAAAGTGAGACGCGCAGGATTCGAACTTTTTAAAAAGTTGATTTAAATATATTCTAGTGTGGATTCTAAGGATAATATCATATTTAAAATAAGAATATACTAGTTTAGGTGGTATAATTTTTTTCGATAAATTTGAGAGCATGTACGTTTAGGGCATCAAAAGTGTCAATTCGCTCAGCGAAAGCTGAGCTAGCTTCGTTCTCGAAAGAATAGGGAAGGAGTGAAAGAGAGTGATACAGATGTTGACACATTCATATCATTTCAACAAATTTTGATCAAATTGAAATGCAATGAAATTCAATTCACTTCATATCCTTCAGTCAGTACATTGACATCCTTCTACATCACAATGATAACTCGGGAATCAATAGTTTTACAACTAACTCAGAAAAAAAACAAGATTTTTACTTCCAGCTTGCAGCTTTTAAAAAGTTTCGATGATAAAAATCACTCTACTCTTGTTTATCGATATGTGATGATAGTAGGTAAACATATTCTTATCGATTTTAATAAAAATATTTTTACGAAAATCTGAACCAATTACAGAGTTATTCATAAAGTTTATGATAACTGTAATTATTTCATCTTTGTTTTATATTTGAATAAACAATTTAATTTAATTTGCATAATTTTTTTTAGTTGAAAGACAGGAAACTTAGTTGAGTTTGTATTATTTTTATCGTTCAATTCATTGTATATGTGAGTGATCCTGATATTTAAGATATTTAGAAAAAATTTATTAATTTGATTAACAAATTTTAATCAAAATAGCAAAAATCTATTTGATAGCTGTAAGCAAATAATAATTTCTATTTCAACCAAAATCACTTATTTTCATCTAAACGTATAAAATTGTCAATTTTATGAGAATAAATTTAAAATCTCATGAAATATAAAGGAGAGTAATATTTTTCAATTTTCTTTTTTTCTTTCTCTCAAATATTTTCTATTGGGAATTTTCTTGTTATCAAAAAATAATTTTAATATTTGTTTATTTCATTACATACAATAAAATTTTAAAAACTCTATTTCTTCACAAGAAAATTTTTTTCCTTCATATGAAGAAACATTTTGTTCTCCATTTGATGCTGAGTCTAAATCTCGATTTTTGAATTTTCTTCTTTCCAAATTTCTTTTTTCCAAATTAGAAGTTTAATTCAAATTTTCAATAGTTTATATATTTTCTCAAACCGTCTTAGATTTTCTCACTTTTTAGGGATTTTCTCTCAAAATATACAAAAATAGTAATACCAATACATGTGTCTAATATACTTTAAAACCATCGTGATAAAATTCAAAAACGAAGAGTTCTTCTCTCCAAATTTTTTTCAAAATCAAAAAAATGAGATAAAAAAATACGTTTGGAAAATTCATTTTTAGCATTTTAGGAATTTTCTCACTTTTCTTCCAAATTGACATCCTTATTTCAACTCTTTAATTAATTCATAAGAATTCAAAATTTATTTATATCTCTGAAATAGTGATTTTCTTTTCTTTTCTTTTGTTTTTTTTTAATTTTGTTTAAGGGTCCACTGTAAGGCCAAATAAGGCCTATCGTCGTCCCAAAAATATTGCTCAAGATGGTGTTTTTACTAAGGCCCAAAACTTAAAAAAACACAAAAAAATTAACTTTACTCTTTTGAGATCCTTATCAGATGTGCAACAATTTGATGCAGTATCGCAATTCGAATCCGATTTTTTAATGTAGATGTACTCTAACATTCTTGAAAAAATGCAAAATGATATTAATCAAGCTTTTCATTTCTGTATCATACACGAAACAAAATCATTCATTATACTAAAATTTATCAAAGTTTGAATAATGAAAAAAATAATATCTAAATTTTTACATTGAGTCGGCTATTGATATGGTCAATATTAAATCGTTTAAAAATGGGCATTGGCCAGAATAATACCCACTAAAATACACATTTTTTTTAAATTTTATCAATTTGTTTTGGTATATCTTTATGATAATGAATAAAATGCTTATCTTTCATAAGTCAATACATAATTTATGCTGAAACACAAAAAATAACACGAAAATTTTTGGCCAACATTTCAAAACGAAGGATAATGCTTTGAATATATAAACAATAATACTTTGTCTAGAGAATTAAATTTGTGCTATCCAATTGTCAATTCTTTGAATTTTTTATAAAATGCACGATATTCCGGCATTAGCCTCAATAAATATAAGCTACATGCATCACAATATTAGGATGTAATGGCATTAAAGCGAATTTCCTAATTTCTTCTCAATTAAATTCCTAGAAAAACTTAGGAATTAATGATTGGAAATAGGTCAAAAAAATTCCTAATATAAAATTTATACTTAAATTAAAATCAAAATTCGAAAATATCTATTTTTCAAAACACGCATCCAGAAGCGAAAAAATTCGAAAAAATCATGTTCTTATAAAACTCGCTGATTTTGCAATTTTTATGTGATTTGAAGTGATAGAATGTATTATCATCTTACTAAAACATATACTTTATTGTTACATTCACAAAATATTAATCAGAACACTAGGAAAAGTGGATTTTCGAAAAAAGACGATAACGATTATTTGCAAATCGCCTCTCAATTTTGAGAGACTTTCAATTTTTACAGTGGACCCTTAATTATTTTCCAAATAAAATTTAAAACAAACAAAATTGTTTTTTAAATTTTTTAAATTCCTTTTAATTTCTGGTTTCTCAAAGATTCGTGTCAAATAAACGTCACAAATGAAAGATCTGCGTCACATATAAACCGGTTTTCTAGGCCTCAGTAGATAGAGCACCTTAATTCATGATTTAAGAATCAAAACATATATTTGCTTCTCAATAGTGCAATAGAAAAAATATGTTTTTGAGAGAGAAACTTTATAATAAAGTTTATTGCATTAAGAAGTAAAAAAATGAGTAAAATAATTTCATATTAAGTAAATAAACATTACATACATAGCTATTCTTAGCTATTGGACAAAAATATTTTTCATTTTCCATATAGCTAACCGGAATTCCAAGAAATTTATCTCCTTTATAAGATTTAGTTACATAAAACGAAGGATATCTATAAGCTTGAAAAAATGATTATTATTCAATATAACTGTTTTTGAACATAAGAAGACACTTTCGAGATTAGAATTATGAAAAATTAATGTTTCAGGATAAATTATATTCGCCGGGAATATTACTGTATGCAAATTCATACAATCATGAAAGGTGGACTTACCCATGTTTAATGAAATCCGTTCTTCAAAAATAAGAATGACTAATTTTAACATCGTTGATAATGAATAATCTTCCATATACTTTACTGATTTTGGAATCAATAATTCAGTTACACTTGTATTCCAAAACGAATCCATTGAAATATATTCAAGAGTATTAGGAAGGATTATTGCAGTAATAGAATTACATTCCTTGAATGCATATTTCGACGTTCTGACGACTTTATAAGATTTACTTTTGTCATAGGCAAAACTTGGAATGATGACTTTCCCTGACTTGGAATTTCCATCTAGAAGAGCATTTGCATATTGGTTATTAGATAACCCAATTTGACATGTATAGTCATCAATTGTTTCAAAATTATATTGTTGATATGTAAATTGTACTATTTCTCATATATAATCAATGAATCAAATTTGATGAGTTCTTTGGGAAAAAGTGACACTTGAAAATCCTTTCAAGGGAAAGATCTCAATTTATGGAGTTGATTAAATGTTTCTACATCATTTAAAAGGTCTGAGAGAAAATTTCTTATTCCAATATGTACCTATACAAACAAAGGAATATTTTCATTGAAAAACATTCATAAATCGATCAAAAAAGGAATATGAGAGTCCACATAATTAATCAATATTTGGAACAAACAAAAGTCATCATTTTGAACGCATTCATATTCATATCTATCATGATATCACATCAATTTCATGAACCTTTCGATTTCTCAGAAGTGTCAAGTTAAATGCTTCAACATCGCTACACTTAATAACTAATTAAACAATTTGAACCTTAAATAATGATTTTTCCCAGATATTTGCTTTTTTGCGAATTTGCGATTTCGTTTTGAAGTTTTTATTCGATCCAATTGAATAAATTTTTTAATATACCTCTTAGAAGGTAGAAGGAATGAAAGTCATTAGTCGGAAAAATTTGAATGGTTACATAATATCATTTTTATTCCTTGTTATGGTTCAAAAAATAATGATCTATTTAAAAACTTCGTTATAGTTCAGAATAAAATTGAATTAGCTAATAATAAACTCTAGAATTCATTCCCCAATTATATTTTAAAACTTTAACATATTCACCGAGAAGAATCCATTCAAAAATCGCACGTTAACATTCAAAATAATTACCTTGTTGGTTACGAATGATATCCATACATGATGCATTTATTGTTAAATACCTATACCTCTGAATTTCAATAAAAAATTGAGAGGTCGATAGTAAATCAATTGAATAGCCTAAATCGTCTAAATTGAGACAACGAAAACGCGCAATTTTTGACATCCATTAACCATAATGTAATCAACATTATTTTTTTCCAAACAATGCTCAGGTTTTTCAAAAATTTCAAAAACTTGAAAGTCCTTTCAATTCTGTCTTTCTCTGACTTTATCAAATTACATTATGATAAATTCCCTTCCTCAGCAGATCATCGAACAAAAGAATGCGATTGAAACAATATGGGGCTTAGCACCTAGTAACTACAAGATGATTTTTGCTGAGACTTTGAAATATTACGACTCACAAGCAATTTCCGTTGACCAGATATTAGAGACACTAGGATATTATTGCACCTATAATTTAATGAATCTTGGCCTTGCATATGATTTCTGCAAAGACTTACAGGCCAAAATACAATTTTCCAAGGTACCAGTCTTCATTAAATCATATTCCCTCAGGAAGCTCTTGGATAATGATCAGATAATTGAAGCAAATTCCAAAAGCGCAATCCAAAGCGAGCAAATCTTTGCATTCCGACAAAATAACTTACATTTCTCACAAGAATTGACTCACCAAGACATTTTAAATGTATATGAATTCAAGTCAATTGAGTACACTCTTCTTCACGATAATATCTTAAAGTTCAAAGAATTTTTCCAAAATTACTCTCCATATTCAGTTGATTGCTTCATGACTATGATTGATTCTCCACACTACAAAGAGCTCATTATTCTTGATGCTTGCGCTTATTACGGAGCTACGAAGTGTTTTCATTATTTACTCGAAAACGGCTCTCCTATCTCTTCAGAAACATTTAACTGCGCAGTCATCGGTGGCAATCCATCGATCATTCATTCCTGCGAGTCCATTCCGAATATCAATGTTAGTAATTCCGCAATTGACCTTGCCATCAAAGCTCATCATTATACAGTTGCTCTTTGGCTCGAGGCGAAGTACAAACTTAGATTCTCATGGAATTCTGTTCTTGAAACAAAAGATTACAGATTTCTGATCAACAAAATCAGAAAAATCAAAGATATCAATTGCGTCGACTCAAAGAGAACTACACTGCTTAATGCGGCTGAATCATATCATGATACTGAAATAATCAACTGGGTAATTGCAGAAAGTAACAAAAACCCAATGAACTTAAAAAAACTTGCACAGTGGGTTGTTAAAGGCAACGTTTCAATCCACGCAAAGAATAATGTCTCCTTATAATGTTGCCTTGTTTATATATATTTGTTTTTGTTTGTATTTGTATAAATATAAGTTTTCGAAATCTTTTTTTTTATAACTCTCACAAGCAATAGAAGGAACTTATCAAAAGTTTATCCCGTTGTTAGTATACCTTTAATAAAAAATATATCGGGTTATATATTTCGAATGAATTTAACAGATGTGCAATCAAACGCTATATCATGGAAATTAAACGCCAGATATTGATATTTTTTACTTATTTAAGCATCGGAAAATGCTCATCTTGAGGATATAATCAAGATCCTTTATAAAAAAGTGACAAAATTTAAAAAAATGACTGAAGGAGTTACACTCTATATTTCAGGTCTTTCGTTTAATGTTAATGAGTCGCATCTTCGTGAGATCTTCGGACATATCGGAAAAGTGGCTGAAACTAAGATTGCAAGAAATAAATTTGGACAATCTTTAGGTTGGGGCTTAGTAACGTACGGAGATATTACAGATCCTGCAGAACCTATAAGTTTCATGAATAATGGTCAAATAGATGGATGCAGAGTCGTTGTTCGAGTGGCTGATCCAGAAAAAGATAAAATTGAATAATTAGTTTTCATGCTAGTCTACAAGTAAGTTTTGAATAGACAAACAAATATCCGATCAGATACTAAAAAAAAAAATTATGATTCAAAAAAAAATTAATAGTTAATTTTAGCTATTATTCCATTGTTACTCACTACATTCCGATCTAAGTGCAGCAAAGTACATATTTATTTCTACTATTTGATTGTTGAATAAATAATTCTTTCTCCTATTTTATTGTTAATTATTTATCTTAATATCCAATAGGATTCATATTGTTTCCGTTAATGTAATGCATACCTAGGATTATGCGCATAAAAACTTCAATATCAGAATTTTATAAAAGATCAAATATTCTGCTGAATAACGATGAATATAAGTATTAACATAAGAATGCAAAAATCGAGCTATATACAAACTGTCTGGAAAAAGGAATCAGTAAATCCTTGTGAAAATAAAGATCAAGAAATTAAAAAAGTGACATTTTACAGAAAAATGTCTGAAGAAGATAATATAAAGGAGCTGGAACCAATTCCAATAGGAAATGAAGATGACATGGATGAAACAAAGAAATCATTAGCGCAAAAAACGAGCATAGGAAAGCCAATTAAAAAAACTTCGGATGATATCTGGAATTCATTATTTGGATTAGTTGTATCTGTTGTTGGAGGCTCATATATTGGTTTAAGTTCTCGTTCAATGCGAGAATCTTGGATTTATTGTTTTATTTTAATATTCTTATCCGTTGTTTGCTTTGTTACAACAATTACAGCACGAAAATTCAGTGTAAGGAAGGCCGTATCTCCATTTATGATATATTTTGTAATTGGCGGCTTAACTTCTCCAATTGCATCTTATCTTGGTAGCCAATTAGTTTAATTTAGATATGAATTACTCTCAAATATTTAACGTTTTCATGTTTATCAAACTATATGCTTTTGCATTTAATATTTTACCAAAACCATCCGAAATTATTATAATACATGTATGTATTATATTTTAAACATTTGTTTGATTTAGTTTACAATTGTTTTTGTCTTATTTATAGAATAAATGTTATAATTTTATATTTTCATTTTGATTAATTCGATTTCTTTTCACTCATAAGCAATTATAGCCCTAGGCGTACCTATTTCGAGAATAAATCAGAATACTTCATTACTGACGTTTCGAAATTAGGGAGAATGATAAAACCATCGATGTAATTCAGTCATTGTTAGTCATGATATCTCTTAACATAACTATTGTCATATAAATCAGAATCATATGCGTCAATATTTATATTTTTCATTAAATTTGATGATCAAAAAATTATGTTGCCAGAAAAGTTTTCAAAACTTTCAATTCAAGGTTTTCTTGAAATAATTGCTTTTTCAATATATAATAATTTTGATTTCATTTCGCATTCAAAATATGACAGATAATCTTATTGAAATTAATCGTAAACATACACAATTTTTTCTAACTTTTTTTTTCAGAAGATGCTTTATATCCTTTGCCTTTACATTCTCATAGGAATTGTTGCGCTTCTTGTTGCTGGATGGAGAATCCTCACAAGGAGGATGCCAAATATGAAAGGAAAGCATGTTGTTATCACTGGCGGTTCCTCTGGATTAGGTATTGCTCTTGCCAAAGAAGCTTTCAATAACGGTGCAGCACATGTAACACTCATAGCACGCAAACAGGAACAACTTGAAGCTGCTTCTGCAAAGATTCCTCACAAAGAAGATCAGGCCATTCATATTATTTCCGCAGATGTTACAAATGTTGAATCGTTACAGAATGCATTCAATCAAATCAAGGATTTGGGTCTTAAGATCGACTATTTGTTCCCTAATGCAGGCTATGCACGTCCAGGCGAATTTGATCAACTTCCAATTGAAGAATTTAAGAATTTAATGAACGTAAACGGCATAGGCGCTATATTATCTACAAGAATGGCATATACATTATTAAACGAAGGCGCCCACATCACGTTTAGCGGCTCAATCTGCAGTCTCTTAACATTTTCTGGCTATGCCGCCTACGGACCATCCAAATTTGCCCTCAAGGGTTTTGCTGATACTATCAGAAATGAGTTCTCTCATAAGTCTATCCATGTTCACATGGGAATTTACTCTTCCATGGACAGCCCAGGCTTTGCAATTGAAAATAAGTATAAACCAACAGCATGTGCTGCTATCGAAGGTACAGCAAACTTGTTTTCACCAGAAACAATCGCGAAATACGTTTATTGGGGAATCAACCGCAATGATTATTTCATCTACACAGAAATCCTTACATTCTTCATCATCAATGTTTCTTACGGAATCGCTCCTTCAAATAATATCTTTGCCGACCTCTTCTTCGCTCCTTTCGTCCCAATTATCCGCTACTTCACAGTCAAATATATCGATGGCCTCGCTGGATTACCAAATGAGAACAAACCAAAGAATGATTAAATAAAAAAGAATGTAAATTTGAACTCTAAATCTACAAATCAATTCTTGAGTTGCCCAGTATAATTTCTCTCAATAAAAATTCAATCTATTTTAAACTTTTTTTTTAATCGCAATAATAAACATAAAACTTTACTTACAACTTTTATTTCTAAACTTTTCATGAATAAGAGTGCCTCTGAAATGTCTACGACATGCTGCAAAAAATGATAAAACGGTTACATATGAATCAGATCCTGCTTGATGCATTGGACCATATCTTAACACACCAAGCTCTTTGGAAAGACTTTGTAATGAACCAACTCCTGGATTTATTTGCATAATCATATATCTGACATCATAATAATGAGGGAAATATGTCCTAACTACTCTATCAAACTCTGCAGATGTATCAGGAAGAATATCTGCTGTAACAAGTTTAACTAAATATGCAATATCGTAACCGGCTGCAAATGTAACCCAAATTACATTATCATTCATTATAAGCCCACTAGCATAGAATATTGGAATAAAATCCGATATATCAATGCCATCCTTTAAAAATTTATCAAAATCTATTCCTGATTGGAAAAGAAGATTAATTGAATCAGTAGATTGCATATCATGAGATAAATCAAATTTGAAGTTAAATTGCCAAGTACATATTGGTTGTGGTACTTTTCCATCTTCATCTGCTAAAGTTATGCCAATCTGAATTAGTTTCATTCTATTTACATTTTCTCTTTCTACTTGATATTTGACTTCGTCTGATGCTGAAAAAGGTGGAGATTTTAGAAAAAATCCCGAAAATTCCGTATCCATCCCAACGTAATGATATTTAGGTAATAAATGCGCAATTTTTTCCATTTCTGTTTCCAAATTATAAGCCCACACATCTACAATGTCATCTTGTTTCATTCAATAAAATTAGAATAATTAGGGGGATGATTTAGGAAATTATGGTGACAAAAATGAATTAACTCAATATTGCACCATTAACACGGATAGTTCTTCAAAATTCGAATTATCGTTAATAAACTTTGTTTTTTTAAATTAATTTTATTTTGCAATTCTTTCACTCAACTCAGTTTTAAAATGAAAGACAAACTTATAGCCCTTGGGTCGGGAAGTACATGCAGAAAGGTCTGAAGTAATAAATCTTCTACTCATATGAAGAAAATTGAAGAATCAAGGAAAAAAACAGATGTGTCTGATTAACAATATATATGCATGTATATATAAGGATAGATTTTATACAGATAATAGATGCGCATGTCATTTTGTTTTTGCTGATTCTAATAATAAGTCGGAATTCACTTCAAACTTTGAGAGATAATGCCCGAATTTTCTTATTCTTGTGACCAATGATTCCAAATGCGTACAGTACCAAAACAACAATTACAGCTACAAAAATAACAGCGCCAAGTGTAATAAGTATAATTGCTACAGTTCCTAACTTATTGCTATGAGGTTCAACGGTTGATGTTGGCTTTTTTGATCGTGTTGGTGGCCATGGTGCTTCATTTGTTGGCCAGGTTTGTTTTGGAACATGAGTAGGCCCCCAAGATGGAGAAGGTGACCATCCTGTCCAATAATCTGGCTCGGGGTTGTTGAGTTCTTGACTTTCAACTAGGAAAAACAAAGAAAAAAGCATTATTTGACACTTTTCTCTTTCATCAAATATTTTTGAATCATCAAAATAAATAGAAGGGTTAGGCATAAAGAATTCAAATCCAAGATTTTAAGGAACAGTTTCATTGATTGAATTAAATTTAGTTCTAATTTCTTTAAATCTTATAACTAAGTTCACTCAATACCAACCGGCACCATCACAAATATATTTACTGTCACAGCATTTCTATTATTCAATGATACATAAATTACAGGCCAAGTTTTACAATTTCAGATGAATCTAAGAAGCTATTCAACTTCAAGTTGAATACAAAGTTAAGAGGATTCTCTTCTTATCAATAATCAATTTCATGGTATATTTCAAATCAGGCCCAGTTATGAAGATACATTACATTTTTGAAAATAAATATCAACAAGTTGCCCTAAAATAACATATTTTTTGCCGAAATCATAAAAATAACATTTTAATCGCCAATGTTAATTAAAATATACAAAAGAAGTAAACATACAAGATTTCTATCTTCAAAAAATAACACCAGTGCGATCATTTTCAATTTGATTAAAGAAAATATATGTAAATATTTGTTCACTTGCTATTTTTGAATAGAATTCTGAGAAATAGCTTTGGAACCTGAAAATGAAAAGATGTATGAAGAAAAAACAATAAAAACGATTACTTTGGGAAGTAAATTCCAGAAAATTATGCACAATGATAAACTTCTGCGCCGATCCCATACAATATATGATAATATGTAACTAAGAAATGGATACTGAAATCCATGAAATCCAATGCATGCATCAAAAATTAAACCAATGCACAAATTAATATATTTCCAGCTTTTGCAGCAAAGTTTTGTTTCGACAATATTGTATTGTTCATCATATTCAGTAAGATCTTCTAAAATTAATGTTTTCGTTTCGGAATTTTTAGTTTGCTGTAATTGGGTTGATATTTCGACGTCAATGTATGGACTTGACTGCAAATCAATTTCGTTCATATAATTTGGTATGTTTTTATTGGCTAGAAGAAGTAAATCTTCTTCATTTTGAATCATTAATTCATTTTTAGGGGAATTTTTCTGAATTATGGTTCCCAAAATTCATATATGAGTACGTCATAAATGCACATATTCATCACAGTCAATAATTCCTTCTAGACAATATCAAAACTCCAAGGATTTCTAGTTGATTTTGCTTATTAGGATGCACATAAACATGCTTGATTCATAGCAAATGAATGGATTTTAGACATGAGTTTATTTTTGATGCAAAAAAGGTGACAAAATGGAAAATATCCTAAATGAGATGATTGGAAAATGCGCAGGCGCTGCAATTTTCAGTCACACAGGTATTGTATGGTATACTACACCAGGTTTTTATACAAATACTAACGAATTCAGAAATTTTGCTAATGTTTTCGTTCCAAATAGTAAATGCGTTTATGATGGAATTAGTTTTCAGAATCAAGTATACTTAACTCTTAGTTTATCTGATGAAATTTACATTGGAATTACAAATACAAGTTTCGCTATAATGTGCAAATGCAAAGAATGCATAGTGTTTGCATATGATGAGAATAAAATTACTTACGATAGACTAAAACAAGCTACAGTTCAATTAGCTCAAAAAATTAAAGAAAATAACCTTGATAGCCAAGATCTTGGTAAATAATAGAGTTTTTTACAGGCAATTAATATTATACATCATCTAACATGTGAATTTGTTTTTATGGCGCTTTTTTTGTTTATGAATAAAAATATCTTTCAAGTTTTATAGATTTTCTAAGAATCTTATCCCATTTTCGAAAGCATGAAGCATCGGTTATATTTACAATAGTAATAAAATTGCGGCATAAGGGATGACAACCTTCTAATGAGCAGAATCATTCGAAATCAAACATATGATTTTTCGAAAAATTTTAGCAAAAAAAAAATTATAATGAGTCTGCAACAAAAATCAGTAAAAGCGGCATCTTTTGCTAGAGACATCATTGATAAGCAATTAGAAGATATTAAGGCTTATCTTGAATCAACTGGTGTTGGCTATAGAGGTTCATTAGTTGATAAGGATGGATTTCCTTTACCAAACATAGACCATTTTCGTATTGCAAATGAAAGAAAGCGTGCAGCAAGACTTCTTAATGATAGAAAGCGTATAGAAAATTTAATATCAGAATTACTCGTTTCAGTACCAACTGGAGATAAACCAACATTGATGATGGAACTCGAAAAACAAGAACCGTTTTGTTTGATATCAGAAGTTAGAGAGGGATCGCCTGCAGAAAAGGCAGGTTTAATTGATGGTGATTTATTAATAAAATTTGGTCCAGCTACCAACATGTTAGACGTCAAAAAGAATATTGTAGAAGGAACTGCAGTAGATTTAGTAGTTTATCGCGTGGAAGAATACTCGAGAGAATTAGCTTCATGCTCTTTAACACCAGCTAAGTGGGAAGGAGATGGACTTGTAGGATGTCATTTGATTCCGTTGTAAAAATACTATATTCATAAAAGAATATTACATATGTGTTTATTTCTGTTTTAAAGTATCAGTTTCCTTAAAATTGGAGCATAATGAGGCCTAAATTTTGAAAATTCGATACTGTTGTATTTCTCAATTACCCTATATTTCCAACTCTTGGAAAATTTTCATGACCCCCTACCCAGGGTCCTAAAATGGGTATTTTCCTCACACAGACACCGTGGTTTTTTGAGCCGGGAAATAAATAGCGCAGACAGTTTCTACATATAGAGACATGCTTATACTTAGAGTTTGACGGGAATCTAAAGTGATTTTTTTTCTGCATCGCGAAATCTAATGCAATCTCAAAATCATGAAGAAACTGCGAATCGGAGCGCAATTTTTTAATATGTTAATATATAAAGGTACCACTACTACTGCAAATGCTTCAAATGAAAATCTAAGAAATCAGATTAATTTGATCACATTAGTATAGTATTGGTCAAACCAAAAACTCATATGTTGATATATAGCCTATGGATATTCATATTATCTACTTTTCATTGAATTACATAAGATTTAATAATCTCATAAATATTCTTTTTAATTTTCCGAATTCCGTGTGCATTTAGATTGCCTATACCTGTATATAATAATTCTAGAATGGTTTGGTTAGATATTAAGTTTTTTAGATTAATATTTTAACATTTTGATAAAACAAGCATTTGTTCCATTTTAGAATCGCCATTGAACTCTAGTTTGACTAACATGATGTTGTATGATCAAATAAATTCTAACTTCATGAGATAAATTTTGAAATTAGAAAATGCGATATCTGACTCAAATATTTATATGAACACATTTAACATTCAATGATAAACTAAAGTACTATACAGCAGATTCGATTTGGCTTATATTTTATATAATCAACTAATAATCCTATAAAATTGTGCTATTCACGTTGCTCAAAGATGTATTGAACATTCACTACTTGTGTATTGATAAAATTAGATATAGATTCTAATGTAAATCGATATTTTGAAAATTCATATATATTTTGTCTTGGTTTGGCATTTGATCGTGTTGAAACCGGAATTGCAATATATATCATCTAAATATATAACTATCAAAATATGAGCTATAGATTTTTAAATTATTATCCTGAATATGAGTGTAACATAATTATATTGAATTGAGTAGTAAGAATCTTAAATATTAAATCTGACGATAATTTATTATAACTGTATATAAGGAACAAGACTATAAATGATGATGAAATAAAGATTAAATTTAAATCTGAAAATTTGAAAACATTAAGTGTATTGTGCACTCTTGTCGGTCACAGTGTCTCATTCTGGGAGACATTGCCTCTGCATGTCTCCCAGAATGATATCAAGTTCCCCATTCATAACTTGAATGCGGAACTTTGACCGACAAGAGTGTATTGTGCACTCTTGTCGGTTGAAAGTTCTGCAATCAGAAGAAGTTGTTGAACAATCCGCCATTCCAGGAGGCATGGCTTGTTATCTCTCCTGAAATGGCACATATTTGATAATTCATGGAGCAGAACTTTGCACGCAATCAGACAAAAGATTGCGACAGAGTAACTGGGAAGACAGCAACTTGAAGCAATAAGCTGCTTGGGTGCTGTCTCCCAGATGCATCTGTCGGGCAAAGTCTCAAAGGAGCAGAACTTTGCACGCAATCAGACAAAAGATTGCGACAGAGTAACTGGGAAGACAGCAACTTGAAGCGAAGTTTTGTTTTCGAGTCTTTGGTTAAGAAATCTTAACAAAAAAACAAAGAAAAAAATCAGATAAAGTTGTCAATAACTTCATCAGTTAATGCTCACCTATAGGAGGTGTTTTGCGGGAGCTGGGGGTATCTTGGTGAGTACTCAGGAGGCCAAGAAGGGCACCCCAACCGACATTATCCTGATGAATTCAGTTGTCAACCATTCTGAAAACCGCCGAAACCGTCGTGTGTAGAGAAATTGTTTAAATTTATTTTTTTTCAGATTTAAATAAAAATAAGAAATGTTTACTATTATGGATTTTGAAATTTTTTTAAATTAAGAGTAGGAGATGAGACAAATTTAAATTTTTAAGAAATATTTGGAAGGGCGTAAGATACGCCAACTTAAATATATTATCAAATGAGAGAAAATCACTCAACAAAAAAACAATTCTTTCAAAAAGTTTGACATTGATCTTTCTAATACATATTTTTGGAAGGGCGTAAGATATGCCAACTTAAAAATATTATCAAATGAGAGAAAATCACTCAACAAAAAAACAATTCTTTCAAAAAGTTTAAAATTGATCTTTCTAATACATATTTTTGGAAGGGCGTAAGATACGCCAACTTAAATATATTATCAAATGAGAGAAAATCACTCAACAAAAAAACAATTCTTTCAAAAAGTTTAAAATTGATCTTTCTAATACATATCCTATGGAAGGAGTTTACATTCTCAAAATAAAAACCAGTTCAAAATCTTATTATTCCTTGAATAAAAATCATTTAATTTCAAATCCATTCCAAATCCTTAAATCTGTATTAAAATCATTTTGCCAACAAATACAATACAAATTACATTTCCATATATCTTCTTGTCCATTTTAATTTTTTATCTCATTTTATTTAATTTTATTTAAAGCATATAGACATCGAGATCCTTTACACATAGTTATATAAAAGTCAAATACATAATAAATTCTTAATTCTAGAGATATCTCAAAATCTCATTTTTTTAATTTAAAATACCTTTCATTTTTCACAGTACGATCACAACAAACAAGCCATTTACTAATTAACACATATAAGAAAAATATCAAATTACAAAACAACTTTCAATATCATTCGCATCAAATTCTATTTTTTCATAATTATCAACTACATGTTATTATATAATATATGTCGGCGCATATTCCACTCTATACAAGTGTCAGACACACTCACACAAAGCTTTGAGATTCATACCTCTATCAGTAGGACTTCTCAAATCAAGAACACATATGTTTCACTATCGCACATCTGTGTAGGATCTAATTAACCCTTTGGACTGGTACTTCAAAATTTGATAATTTGATAATTTCATGTGATATCATCATTTGCCTTTAAAACAACTGTGCGTTAAACTAGACACGTTTCTCTATCATAATGCAAAATATCAAAGTTTGGGAGATTCCCAAAGTTCTGAAACTGATCATAAGGGTGAAAAACCGTTTTCCAGAAGTTGGGAACGTAGGGTATCATAAAAATTAAAAATTAAAAAAAATCTTCTTTTCGAAAATACGCTGCTGATTATTTTTAAATAATAGCATAATACATATAAGAGATGAAAGATATCTATTTGTTTTAAGGATACCCTTACATTGCGTAGTTAGAAACAGAATATGATATTGTCATGATTGCTAAAGTTTTAGGCTCCAGAAATGAATATACATCAAACTGAAACAATTGATAAATTGAATGAACTTTTGAGAGGTTCTCAAATAAAAAAAATTATCTAATTTTTTACAATATTACTATTATTTTATCCACATATGTATATATAGTAATTTGAGAAAACTTTTAGGAAAAAATAAGTTTAATAAAAATCTGAATTTTACTTGTTGTGGGATTGTTATTAATTGACACTCCAGACGTATTACTAATAGTTATGCGTATGCAATTAAAGTATTTCTGATGGACAAAATGTGAGATTTATATCAGATAATTCATTTCTACTATTAAGTTATTCATTTATGAGTTTGCACTTATTCGCACTAAATAAATAACTATTAAAAATTGTTTTAATTAATTGACACCATATAATAGAGTGAATTTTGTTTGATCAAACAACAATAGATGATAGATATAAAGCCAAGAAACTTGCTATTAATATGCTCTACTTGCTATTTCAATGTAAGTATGATATTTTCTAAATGTTTCGTTCAGATAACTTAGATATATTAGTCAAAATTTGAAATTTTAATAGCACATATATTAAAAATAATTATTATTCATAAAAGATTAATGAAATAGTAAAAAAAATCAATCAAATTATAAAAATACAACATTTAGAAGAATTCTTATTATCCTACAAAAAGTCAGTATTTCTGCTGTAATTTTCTACAACATTGTAGTTATTGCACTTTGTCTATGGATTTGTATATATGTTATATATAAATTATATATCTAAACTGCCCATAAGTGCAATTTTTATATAAATTGTTTATTTCTTTAACAATTTCATATGAAATATGCTTTTTGAAGCGTATCAAAGCTGTGTTCTTAATGTGCATGGATATATCAAGAAAAATGTCGAAAAAATGTGAATTCACAAATTCACTGAATTTTCACCGTTTTTTGAATTTTGCTACAGCATTAATATTAAATAATACTAAAATCTTCTGTCTTTGTAAAAGAATAAATTCTGACAAAAAGTGCTCGTTTAAATTTAATGATCATCTGTATGACTAAGTGGTAAAAAGTGTTTATGACCAAAAAAGGGTTACATGCTTAGTCTATTTTTCTGACAGGATACTCTAGATTTACATGATCTCTATTTCATATCTCCGTTTTTAGATTCTTCGACAGATTTTATGATAGAAAACCAAGATTAACAAATTTCCGGCATGTTAATGAAGAAATCTGCAGCTACCCTCAATATTATTTCAATAATCAGTATCGTTTCTCTTACAATTTATTTTTTTCTCAATAATTTAACAAGAAATAACAATACACAGTTGGTTTTACATATAAAAGCTAAGTGTCGAACTTAATCAACTTTACTTACTTAGCAAATGAATATTTTTGTGGTTGCGAGTTCTGAATGCTGAAGTTTTAGATTTCTCTATAAATGATATCATTGCACTTACAATGTTGTTCCAGCCTATCGCATAAATCATAGAAAATCCAAAAAAAAAAATAATATAAAGAAAATTCATGTCATGAAGTTCAAAAAATACTGTGTAACATTAAAATTTGTTATGCATAATACATTTTAGCTATTATTGATTTTTTTTTAATTTTCGAGAAATTGAATGGTGAGTCCGATAGAGAAATTTTTAAAAATCCTAGTGCCTCATAGAAGTAATTTCCCTCGTCTCCCATACTTCCAAATGTATGCATATGACATAAACTTTTATGCATTACACAAGTGGCCAATAATATCTATAGAGTAAAAAAATTAGAAATTTAATTTTTTTATATGATAGTTATATTTCAGATTTGCGAGCGTAACTTTTTTCTCCATGGCATACTTGTTTTAAGAGCAAATGATCAAAATCGTCCTTCAATTATTGAAGGAGCTGATATCTTTTGAAAATTGAATTGAAAGGGTATTCAATTTTCAAATTTCCTCTCAATTTTGGAAACATATCAACTCTATGAATTAACAATTATGTGCCTTCACAGTTTATCAGTCATATAAGGTGCTTATAAAGAAAAAAGTTACGCTCGCAAAATATGTTTTTATATAGATTTCACATAAAATAATTATGTAATTTCTAAAAAGAATATTTTTGTTCTTGAATATTAAAGTGTATTGTAGTTTAAAAAGTTTTAAATATGTTGCTAAAATTTCAGGTTTATAGCTCATGTCTAGCATGACTTCTTCGTATGCGCAAAAAATCTGACACGTAAGGGTATCCTTAAATGAAAATATGATAATATCCAGCCTTCATAGTTAGAGTATCGGGTATTTTGACTAAATCATAAAATAAATAGTCTTTTAGTATAATATATCGATTAACTTAGTAGTTCTATAAAAATAATTTTATATTTGTCTTTTAAACAATAATTAAACTCTATAATATATTAATATTCTATTTCCTTGGCTTAGATTGCTGCTTTGCGTTTGCATTTTCAGTTGAATTCTTTCTGTTTCTCTTAGGAATAACATATATCTGAGAATCTCTAATTTTAAGTACCTTTCCTTTCTTTCCTGACGCAGCATCTGTGAATCCTTTTGCACTATCTGATTCTTCGAAACGAATTAGTAGTGCTCCATCGTCCATTCTGGTCATTTCCATTATTTGTCCATATTGAACTGCTAATTCAGCAACTTCTGTCATTGTATAGTCTTCAGGAAGTCTCTTTACAAAAACAGTTTTTGGAAATCCTCCTGTTTTTTCTTCAGACATTTTTATAAAAAGTGACAAGATTTTGAAAAAAATTCAAATGTTTATACGGAATAATTTATAAAAATTTCAAATTCAAGCAAAATTCTAGGAAAATATGATTGAAACCAAGGATAGGAGCAACATGTATTCTTCCAAGTATCATTTGTTTGGCCTTTTTGTGATTGGTAACTTGTAAATCAGACTTTTTGAGCTAATTTTACCATTTATGCACTCTATTTTGTTCTGAAATGCCTCAAGAATAAATTTTCGATTTCTGAGACTCTACTTATCCAAAACTCCTTGTCATTAGATTATGATTAGTAATTTCAAATTATTTAAAATGTATTTAGTCTCATTTTGGCGAAAAGCTGTTTAATTTATTCCTTTTTGCTTTCCAAGTTGAATAATACCTGCTTTATGATTCTACATAGATGATTTCACATCTCATTGACAAAAAAAAGTTTTACACGAAAAATGACTGAAGTTGCGATTAATGCACCAGAAAACTTTACTGGTGATGATGTGCAAAAGAAGTTATTAGATGAGAACATAGAGAAAATTGATGGCTACTCTTTTCTCATGGCTCGTTGTTTAGATAATGGCGATATTAACGGGGCAATCAACCATGCAATTAGTCTTATTGATATTTTAGCTATTGATTCGCTTACTCCTAGAAACTATTATTCCTTATATCATCCAGTTTCTACTGCTTTATTTCAGTTAAATAATGCTTTAGGCGACGAATTAAAAGTTCCTTCAAGAAAAATCGCCGAATTATACGAAACAGTTCAGTACAACGAGAGTGCGCTTGAAAGATTATACTTAATGGTTACTATCGCGCCTGAATTATCAAAAAGAAAAATTATTCGAGTCTTGGACGTATTAGATGACCTCACTGATATGCTTAAACAAGCTCAAGATCCTATCAGAGCTCTATTTTTGAGGCATTACACGCTCAGTATCTTTAAACAGGCGCTTCCAGATTCTAATGACATAGAAACTGAGAGATCACTTGATTTCCTACTTGGCAACTTTGCGCAAATGAATAGAATGTGGGTTCGCATTGAAGATATCATGGCTACCGACTCGAGAAGAGAGCAACGCGTAGAATTATCAGTTTTAATTGGTACAAACATTCAAAGAATATCAGCTTTACATGGTCTTACTATCAATAACTACAGTACCATTATTTTACCATTCTTAGCTAAACATGTTGAATTATGCGAAGATTCCTTAGGCCAAGAATTCATTTTACAATCGATCATACAAGCATTTCCCGAAGAGTACCATGTTGCTACCATTGACGACCTCTTTTCCATGTTTGGGAAGGTAGAACAAGGAGTTCGCATCTTATTGATTGTCAACCAGCTTCTCGAGCGCTTCCTTAACTACCTCGGCCATCTTGTTGACCAAGAGAAAGCCAGCAACATCTTTGTCGTCATCGCAAAGAACATCGAAGAGCTGTTCAATTCAGAAGGCCACTTAGCACTTGTTGACAAGTTCGAAACCCTTCAGAAGCTGCTCAAATTCGCTCTGAAGGTCGATCCGACAGACGTGCGCAACGTCAAAGCCCTTCTTAAGTTCACAGACTTCCACATCGACCTCGCAATCGGAGACGAAGTTCTCACCTCTCCAGAGGCATCTTTCAAACTTCGCGATTTCCTCACTGAGCCTCTCACAATCTTCGAGAGCGCCTCCTCCCTCTTTTCGCTTGAGTTCCTGCCGACACTCATCTCCAGGCTGATGCCGCCGGACAGGATCTCCATCGCGGGCCTCGTCTGCGACCTGTTCCTGAAGAGCGGGACGAAGATCGCCAGCATGGAGCAGCTGAAGTTCGTCCTCTCGATGACGGCGACACTCGTGCGCGACTCCAGCGGCGCGTCGTGCTTCTTCGCGCTGTTCCACCTCATCGACGCAGATTCTGTCATGGACACGATGATGATGATTCAGGAACTCGCCAACGCGATGGACGACGCGACTGAGAAGGCCGCGCAGAGGGCCGTTCTCCCGATCGGATTCGTCGCTCTGAAGCAGATAGAGATGACTGAGGACGACGACGAGAGGAAGAAGCTGCTGAAGTTCATCAATGCGTACGCGAAAAACAACGTGGAAGAGAATGCACTCGGTCCTTTCTATTTGTTTGTGGAGGCGGCAAAGGAGGTGGACTCAGTAAAACTCGGTTTGTACGCAAATGAGTTTATGAATTCTGCAATTGAAATATGGCAAAAAATGCCAGAAAACAGGCAGAAGCAGCAGGCACTGACTTACTTGATAAACTTCGTCTGCTCCAGTACGTGCATTGACCTGGATGTCAACTCTGTTTTGTGCAATGCTGTTGGAAACATTCAGGACACAATAAAGGCAATAACAAGCGTTTGCAATTGCGCAAATTTGTTCTGGAGAAAAGATCAGAAAATTAACGATGTCGAAAAGGTCCAAGCATGTCTCGCTAAGGCATCGAGATTGGCAGCAACAGCTACTGACCAGACAACGATGCTGAAAGGTTTCTACACAGTGCTGAGTTGGACGGCGTATTTCCAGGAAGTTGGATGCAAATTGAACGAAACATGGATCAACGCTTTAGTGCAGTTGATCAATGAAAAACACGAAGTGATTGTGTCGAAGGGACTGAAGATTGAGTCTGTTGTACCATTGGATGTGAAGAAGTTCTACGTCAATACAGTTAAGTACATCAAAGACCAACATTTGTTCCCAAATGAAAACGGCACTTCTTAAAAAAAATTTAGTTTGCGGAAATATTAAATATATATTTATGTTGTAAATAAATGGAAATTTTATCTTTATTTCTGATATAGAACAACTCTAGGTAAATAAAATAATCAAATACATATAAACTAAAATTTATAATGAACTAATATAAGATAATAAAGAGTTCTTTCGCTTCTTGAAAATACTTTCTATGTCATGTCCTTTAATAAAAAGAGGACCTCCAATCATCTCTTCGTATCTATTCATAACACTTTTCATTTTAAGTTCCGCATTATCCAGCATTTTCTTTTTAGTTTCAATGAAACTATCATCTGCCAGATCGTATCCAGTTGCAACTTTTAGCTGAGATTTCACTTCTTGATAAGTTTTCTCATACAATTTGTAACAATCTAAAATTCTTTCCTAGTTGAAAACAGCATCAGTCAATGTAATTCCATTTGATTCTGTATCAGAGTACTTCAAAGCTAGATCAAGTTTTTGTTTTGCAGAAAAACCTAATTCATCAAAAACTTTGTTGATTCTTGCATGCAAATCCTCTTCGTCATCATCATCATTTGATAACAGTGTTGCAATCAACGGCGAGTTCAGCAGCATTGCCATATCAATATCATGATCTATTTTGTGTCTTGGCTGTTGTAACAGATCAACTTTCACTGGTTGAGGAATTTCTTTTTCTTCTTCTTCGTGATTTTCATGTATAGCGTATTCAGGAACTTTTTCATCAAACGAGTATTCGATATAACTTTTCTTTGATAGATCAATATCCACAGCAGGAACTTCAACATCTTCACTGTTTGATGTAGTAAAATCAAAGTTTGCGCTGCTTGAAATTTGATAAAGTTGGTCTGAATAATTCTTTTGATTTGGAACACGATCTTTTAACGGGTCATACAAATCGAAATAAGTTGAAATCATCTCTTGTCTCGATAAGTTATTCTCAGCTGACTTAGCGAAAAGCGGAGATAAATTCATCACAGGAGCTGATTGAACAGCTGTTGATGTTCTATTTCTTTCCAATTTTTTAGTCGGAACATGAAGTTTTCTAACAGGAGAAACTGGTTGTGTGGCAGCCATTGGTTTGTATATCATTGAGTTCTCTCTTAGCAAGTCATCAGCAGTCGGAACTTTATCAAAATGGAACTGATATGACGGGGGAAAGAGTCCAGAAACTTCGTTTATTTGTTGTTGAAGGAGTTTCTCTTGTGTGACAACAGTGGAATCAACAAAAACAGGTGGTTTGTCTTCAGGAAACTCTGCTTGTGTTGATAAATCAAGTTTATCGTAAATTATCCTTTTTGACTGGATTTTTTCAAATATTATTTTCTTCCTGATTGTTTTGATCTCTGATGTGAAGTAATTGATTGCACTTGTGGAAGCAATCCTTGTTTTCGTATATGGATTGATCAGTTTCTCTTTCTGCATTTCAAATATTATTTGTTTCATTTCATTATTGAATTGAATGAGTGTATCATCTCTATAAGCTTCGTTACTATAAGGAAGCTTCTTTAGTTCACGAATTACTTGCTTAACTACTTCTAACTTTTTCCAAAAATCAATATCAATCCGAACAGGTAAAATACTGGTAGAATTCCGCTTTCTGGGCTTAGTGACTGAGTGTGATGACATCAACTTATTGTCCTTTTGAGAAATGATTTTTGGAAGATTTGCGGTAGAAGTTTCTTTCACTTTTGGCTCTTCTTTCATATAGTGTTGAATTATATTGTTATCGGGATCTGTTTCCTGAAAGAAACCCTGACTCTTTTGCTTCTCTAAGAACAAGTTTGCTCTTAATAAATAATCTTTTGGTGTTGGAACTGATTCTAATGGAACAAGTCGTGGTGCAATCTCATATTCATCAGATGTTCTGAAATTATCAGCTGTTGCTGATCTCCTCAGTGATGGAAAAGCCATTGATTTCTTATGCAAAGAATGAAAATTCTGAGAATTATGCGGTTAAAGTGAATCCCTCGGTATGAGATAATGATGTAAAATCAAGTGATAGCCTGGATTATTCCTTTTCGGCATTTTTACACGATTTCCGGTTCAATTCAATTTTTTCAATGATTGTTTCACAAATTTGATAGTATTCAAGATTTTGAATGAAAAACGTAAAATCTATATTGATTATCTCTATAAATTTTATATACAATTACAAATTATCAAATGCAATTTCTCGCCCCAAACATTTTTGACAACGTTCAATCCTCGCGGTAAGAACGAGTGAGTAATTACTTTCGAAGTTTGAAACTAAAAAATTATCAGATATGAGATGTTATGTATTCTTTGATCTGATGCATATATCAGCAAGTGATTTCCATATCAGCACTCAACTTAATCTTCTGTGATAATTCTTCCAGATAGTCTCACAACATCTATGCAGTCAAGCTACAATATCTCATGATCTCGGCTGCGTATTTATTGCGTTTCTTAGAATATAAGTTTGATTGTATTGCTCTCATGAACAATACATCTGCTCCATGGCCTGTAATGAATTGAAAATGCATTCTTACTTAAATGAGTGAAAGTATTTTCTGAATCGTTCATTTGATGGGAGATCTGTCTTCATGCGCTTTTATGAGTGTTTCCTATGAATTTGGGGTTAGAAATTCCATAATAAGTTAGAATCAGGGGTTAAAGAATCGTTCAAAGAAATTTATAAGAAGAATATGGGCCTCTTAGATTTAAAATATTGAACTATCTATAAGAGTGCTTGTAGAAATTATAATGATTTCATATATTTCAAAAAAAACGACTTTTTTCAATTTATTAATTAGCGAAAATAGTTTATAAAGATTCTTTAATTATTAAAATTGTCAAGGCAGAATGGCCGAGTGGTTAAGGCGTGGGATTCGAAACCCCATGGGTTCACCCGCATCGGTTCAAATCCGGTTTCTGTCGACTTTTTTCTTTTTCATCAGCCTGCTGGGAAACCCAAAATCTTATTACATTTTAATGTTATGTTTTGACAATACCAAAGCAGATAAATTTTGTCAAATGAAATGTCCCGAATTTTTGTAAGTATGAATAACTTTCCACTCAAATCATTCTTGGAAAAAGCAAAATTTCTTCCATTTGAATTTAGTTTGATCCTAATAATCCACGGCTCCAAGTGAATTACTTTCATTGTTTGCATTTGAACAATATTGAATCCAATAGATGGTTTGAGGCAGAATGCAAATTTCAAACCCAAATACTAAATTTAACAAAGCATTACCATTAATCTTATTATGCCACAAGCAAAAAAAAATTACAAACTCTATTGGAATATCAGATCTTTGGATGATATAGATAATACTTAGAGATGTTACTTTGTGCATAGGAACAACCTAATTTCTACTTGAGAAACTTGGCATGTAATGAAATTTGGAAAAATTTTATATAATAAAAAAATTAGATAATTACCGTATGTAAATCACTAAAAATGTTTACTTGTCCTGTGGGATGCAGGCCATTGTAGCTTCACCGCATTGGTTGTTCTTGTCCTTGATCATGCGGATGTAGCCCTTCTCACCCCAAGCTGTGCCCCAGGAGTTACGAACGATCCAGTAGTTCTTGGAGCCTTCTGTGCCGTAGCCGACGCAGCCAACACCGTGGTCGAGATTGTAAGATGAGCAAGCGGATTCATCATAGATGCCAGAGGAGTAGAGCTGGAATGACCAAGCAGAAGCATCAATAGCGATAGCAGCTGGGCCGAGGGTGGAAACCTTTGTAGCAAGATCCTTCTCATCGCCTTCAGCAACGTTAACATAGGACTTGATCTGGGATGTGCCCTTAGCAGCGTTGAACTTGCAGGAGCCATCACGAGCTGTGTATGGGTAGTCAGCTTCTGTCATGAACTTGCCGGACTGGTGCTTGACAACATAATCGTAAGCAGCATCCATGAGACCACCATTGCAGCCATAGCATGTTGTAACGCAGTCAACAAGGTTCTGTTCAGAGAGGGACTGGAGTGTCTTGAATGAGATGTAGTACTGTGATTCCTGAGCCTGGATGGCAGAGAAAGCCCAGCAAGAGCCGCACTGACCCTGGTCCTTGATTGGGTTAACAGCGCCTTTCTTACGCCAGTCGCAGTCAGCGTTAGCGATAGCGTTGGACTTGACGGCCTTGCGCTCAGCCTTGTTCATGCGGAAGCCAAGGAGGGAGTTGTATTCAGCTGGTGTAAGGTGGGCGAGCTTGTTGAGAGCAACTGTGAAGCCGAGGTTAGCACGGTTGTGCTCCTGAACAAGGCGCTTGTTGGAGAGCCAAATGCCAAGGCGTGTCTGGTATTCTTCGCCTGTGAACATGTTGCCTGTCTCGCGCATCCAGCCGAGGAAGGCTTTCTGCTCATGTGCCTGAACGAACATGTGTAGAAATGATGATTGCTTCTAACTTCTTTATTCTCTCAAAAAAATTCAAAGGGCAGTTATGATTTGAATCTTTCAGGTCACTTAACCAAAAGTGACTAATAATCCGATTTTTCATAACATTAATATTTAAGTTATTTTTAGGGCTATGAACTTTAAGTGTAAAAAATTGAATAACGTCGAAAAAATAACCCCGTAGCAGAAATTTAACTTGTAGCACCCATATTTTTCAATAAAACTGGGTTATTTTTGATAGCCAAACAGCTCTGTATCTGTTTATATACATACATCAGTGGCGACACATGAGAATTCCAACTCTAAATTCTTAATTTCAAGATAATCTTCAAAACTTAAGTTTGCCTTTTAAGCATATATATCGCATGCTTACCCCATATCCTCTTAAACCGCATGAGATAGTTCGGTTAACTCATATTATTTCAGTAAATAAGATATTCATAATTTGAACCTCATGGGTAAAATCACCCCAAATTCTACCAGTGTGCAGATTATCTGATGTAGAGGAAATTGTGTTTCAAAAGTTTGCTCATTTGTATTGAAAAATACCTCTGCTACAAGTTATTTTCTCCACTTTTAGGTTATTTTTCCGACGTTACTTGAATAATTCAATTTTTTTACACTGTGGTATTATCCTTATTTTAGACAAATATTTCTATACCCAAGTAAATGAGAATTCATTCTTCATTGATCAAACTCAATTCAACATAAATTTAAATCTGAAGATTAAAAAAAAATTAATAGGAACATTTTAATAAATACAATAATCTATAGCTGATCAAACTAAACTGTGATCGCTTGAGGAGGAACCATCTTCGTTACTGTTGGGGAGTTCTTGAGCTGAGCGAAAAATATTGTCTCAATTCCATAAACTGATGGGGTGAATAGAATAAATGATATCAATCTGTACACCATCCACCAGCATGAATTGAAAAATTTAATTCTTATCCATTTAAATTTTCTTTCGACTCTCTTGTGCTTCTTTGTAAAGAAGCACTGAGTAATCAGAGGCCAAATCACTGACGCTGCATGATGTATTGTGATTACCATTAGAACTATATTTTTCGTTTTAAGATTTAAGCACATTACTACTATCATTATAATGGACAATGTAATTGCCGCAATGTATTGTGTCACATATAGTTCTAAACCTGGATAAATACAATCAATTGGATTCTTAGGACGGCAGCAAGCAACTAAACATGTTCTAAGTGAAATAATTTCGATAATTAGCATTAATCCTCCAGTTCCTGCACAAGCACAAATCGGCAAAGAGCGTGTAACATGTAATGTAGTTCCAATATAAATTGTAATAGCTAGGAAAATTATATAATAAATAATACAACATATTGACCCGATTACTCGTATATTTCTTAGTATAGCCCAGGACATATATTCTCTATTTTCCAAATATGAATCATCATCAATTACCATTTTATCTAAATTAACAAATTCTTCATTAAGCTCTGCTTCATTGAAGCGATCAGCAGAATCATCGGTATCTTCAGAAGGGAATTTAAAGTCTGCAAGGTGATCATGTTCTCCTGGTTCTGGTCCTTTGTATAGTTCAATTTGCTCAGCTTCGAAAAATTTAATCATTTCAATTCGAGTAAGTGTTAATTCGATAATTGGGCCTGAAATTACGTAACGTTCAGTTAGATCAGGGCTTGCAAAGCACAATTTAACATCTTCCATGAAGGTGTCATTACCACTTTCTAATCCAGCAAGTCTAATGTTTGCGCGGCTCATATCAAACCATATGCCTGTTTGTAAATAAAGCTCTGAACACCGTAGTATTAGCGATAGGATATTTTTCGACTCAGGGCGAATATAATTTCCTGTAAACGATGCTTTTAATAATTTTCGTTCGCCTTCAATACAATCTAACGCATATTGAATAAGTTTTGTTAATTTATCATCACCTTTAACGTATTGCATTATTTGAGAAGCCATTGTATGCATTTCGTTTAAAAAGACCAATTTACCAAACTCATTGAGTTCTTCTGGTGCAGGCGGTAACTCCACCATAAAAATCTTAAATTTTTTTGAAAATTATACAATTCATAAAATCATTATATGATCAATAATATTAGAAATTCCAAAAAAAATTGCTCAAACTTTTGTACGTTATTAGAAATTATATTCAATTGAATATTCATGATATTTTTATCGGCACCACTAAGATAGCCTTTGTGGAAATAGTGAACTGAAGAGCAAGATCTAGGTAGTGCAAATAAATACTTCCTAACTTCCTTCCTAAATTGTCCTAACTTTTGATTAATCCATATCAATTAACCAAAAGTTTTTGCACTTATGAAGGAGAATAGGGACTTTCAATGTGCTGACTCTAAAAATATTTAAGCATTTTTTTTATCATGAATGCAATAGAAGACATCAAAATTCTCTAAAATTTCGAAGACGATAGAATTCAAAGGGGAATGGAGCTAACACCCCTTGGAATGAACAGACTTCTTTATTCGAAGTTAAGACCATATTTCACAAATTGCTCCATCACCAATCAGCGACAGAGATCTATTTTTAAAGACATAAAATACACAATAAAATTAGTTTGTTCAGCACACAAAAATCCACCATTATTTCTCTATTTAATAGGACTTTTAGTGTTTTCAGATAACTATTTTGCAATTAACCTAAGTAAAGCAACAGATTTATTTCAATACTCCAAAGTAGGTATCAAAAACTTTATGAACAAGCGAAAATACATAAGAGTTAGTTACAGCACTGATGAGTTGCCCATAAATTTTACTGAAATTCCTCTTTATAAAAAATGGATTATCTTTAAAATCCCCAAAGATGACGTTTTATCAACGCTATTCCACGAATTTCCAGCTATACATGTAAAATCAATTACAGATTTTATTGATGATAAAAAAAACGATAAATCAAATTTTGTAGGTTTGATGATTCGTGGTGCCCAGGCTGATATAGAGAATCAGATGGATTCGCAATAATATATTTATATTGTTTTTAATAAATTATAGAGTTCTATTTTTATTGAGATTTTATACATATATATTCATAAATGATTACTGGGGAGAAGCTTCCTAAACTTTTTAATCCCATAAATATGGTCATTATCTGGAATAAAGAGTTAAGCGTCATATGTCACTTTTTGTACTAAGGAAACATCGACTTTATGCGTTATGACTTTTCGATGAGGAAACAAGTGTTCACGTATTATAAACTTCCTTATTCCAATAAACCAACCCTAAACATAATTAATTCTAAGAATGATAATGGTCTCTTTTCTATGATAACCAAATCAATTTGGTTATCATAGTAAAGCACCAAAAACAGGAATAGGAATAACCGCGTTTAAACAGGAATAGGCAATATGGAAACTAGAGAAGACTCAACTGATTTTTTAAGCAAATCTTCTTTCTGATTCAAATCTGCTTTGCTCATCATTGTATATTACTGCATTTTTATTAAGATACTTTAATGCATGATCAATGTACATCATTCTTTTAGCAATTTTTTAAATTCATTCTGCTAATTACGTTGAATTTTGTTCAAAAGATATCGTAATTCCATAATTTAATACGTAAAATGTTATTGAATAACTCTGATTATTCCTTTACATGCAAAATGAGTGTGTTCTTTTTTACATTTTTACTCATATTAGATCAAATTTAACCTGATTTTATACTATTAACACTTATTTTAGAGGGATATACTTAAATCTCTATTGTTTTAATAAAAACTTAAAAAAAATATAAAAATTTTCAAAAATGTTAAAATATACTAGCTTTCAAAGAAAATAAGTCATTTTATAAGGAAGACATTATATGTTTAGGAAGGAAATTCCGTGTAATAACCAAAATAGGAAAGAATATTCAATCATTATGAAAGAACTCTATTCTAACAATTTGTGAGACATATATCTTTATAGCGACATAGTTGCAATTCATGTTTTATCCCCTTTCCTTCATTGATTTTAATTAATGCATTCATTCACTGAATATGCATGCTCAAAATCGAATATTTGCCTTACTAATCAACGGACAATGAATGTTTAAAAATGATTAGTATTGAAAAGTAGCTGGAATTTCAGTGTTGTTTTGTATATTTATTCCAAGTGCAAATTTAAACAAAATATACTTATTCAAAGTGCAATGTTTACAAACAATCAATCAATAAAAGTCACATCTTTTTTTCACTGGAAAAAAAAATGATATTTGTTTATAAAGATAAGTATTTAATTACAATAGTACGAATTTAATTTTTAGACTGAAGTTTATTCATTGTTACCGTTTTTAGTCTAAGTTTCTAGGAAATGAGTATTTTATTTTGCAAGATAAAGTTCTTCGATAAAATTAGCATGAAAAATCTTCTTTCGTATAAGAGTAATAATAAGTTTCCGCAAATCTTATTGAGAATAGTACGAGAATTTTGTTTGAAATTTAAATTTTGCATAAATAAAGAATGGATGCAAGAATTTTCCAATTCCATTTTGTTAGAGTTGATTCGTGATTCCATATTGTCGATTCCTATTCCTATTTTTGGTGCTTTACTATGATAACCAAATTGATTTGGTTATCATAGAAAAGAGACCATTATCATTCTTAGAATTAATTATGTTTAGGGTTGGTTTATTGGAATAAGGAAGTTTATAATACGTGAACACTTGTTTCCTCATCGAAAAGTCATAACGCATAAAGTCGATGTTTCCTTAGTACAAAAAGTGACATATGACGCTTAAGGATACCCTTACATTGCGTAGTTAGAAAGAGAATATGATATTGTCATGATTGCTAAAGTTTTAGGCTCCAGAAATGAATATACATCAAACTGAAACAATTGATAAATTGAATGAACTTTTGAGAGGTTCTCAAATAAAAAAAATTATCTAATTTTTTACAATATTACTATTATTTTATCCACATATGTATATATAGTAATTTGAGAAAACTTTTAGGAAAAAATAAGTTTAATAAAAATCTGAATTTTACTTGTTGTGGGATTGTTATTAATTGACACTCCAGACGTATTACTAATAGTTATGCGTATGCAATTAAAGTATTTCTGATGGACAAAATGTGAGATTTATATCAGATAATTCATTTCTACTATTAAGTTATTCATTTATGAGTTTGCACTTATTCGCACTAAATAAATAACTATTAAAAATTGTTTTAATTAATTGACACCATATAATAGAGTGAATTTTGTTTGATCAAACAACAATAGATGATAGATATAAAGCCAAGAAACTTGCTATTAATATGCTCTACTTGCTATTTCAATGTAAGTATGATATTTTCTAAATGTTTCGTTCAGATAACTTAGATATATTAGTCAAAATTTGAAATTTTAATAGCACATATATTAAAAATAATTATTATTCATAAAAGATTAATGAAATAGTAAAAAAAAATCAATCAAATTATAAAAATACAACATATGGTTTTTTATGGTTGTCTCATAATAGCATTTCATGAGAAAAAATATAATGTTGCATGCTAAGTTCGGTCAACGATAGAAATTGAGTGAAAATTAATCATCGAGGAAGTACGATTATGTAAAGTAAAAAAATGTTGTGGGATTTTTAATATTATATATTATTTTATAATAAAATTTTTTTGAGTCATTTTAAGAAGCACATATAATTTTTTGAATTTAAAAATTAAAGTAGTGTCAAACGAATTGATCACTTAATTTAATACTCAGATTTCTTAAAATTAATGAAAAAAAGGTTTTCTGAGAACTTTTGAGAATGGTTTTCAAATTCCATTATTGAAAATATATAGGTATTGTATGAAATTCAAACTCTATATTTATTAAAATTCTAAATTTTTAATAAAATAACTTTTCAGAGGAATATGATTTTGAATGGTTGATTAATAAGTATAAAAATGTCTACGATTTTAAGGAGGGAATTGTTCCTTATGAGGTATACATCATAACTATATACCTCATAAGGAACAATTCCCTCTTGATAGCTGGGAAACTTTCTCTGAATAACTTATCATTTGGAGAAAGTTTCCCAGCTATCTATTAGAAACTAAAGGCTGTGAGGCACTAATATATAATCAGTGCCTCATAGCCTTTAGTTTCTTATTAAAAACGAGAAAACTTGTTCGAAATGATAAACAATTTCGAACAAGTTTTCTCGTTTTAAGGAGGGAATTGTTCCTTATGAGGTATACATCATAACTATATACCTCATAAGGAACAATTCCCTCTTGATAGCTGGGAAACTTTCTCTGAATAACTTATCATTTGGAGAAAGTTTCCCAGCTATCTATTAGAAACTAAAGGCTGTGAGGCACTAATATATAATCAGTGCCTCATAGCCTTTAGTTTCTTATTAAAAACGAGAAAACTTGTTCGAAATGATAAACAATTTCGAACAAGTTTTCTCGTTTTAAGGAGGGAATTGTTCCTTATGAGGTATACATCATAACTATATACCTCATAAGGAACAATTCCCTCTTGATATCCTGGATATTTTTGAATATATTTTTTTAATTAAAGTTCTCATAAGTATTATCAAAAGTGATTTTTTAAAAATATCTCCAATTAATTAACTAATTAAAAGTATTATATTTTTAAAATTAAATAGTTTTTCAATTTTTTTGAAGGAATTGAGATACTTCCCACGACAATAAAATTGAGAGGTTTACATTATGACTGATCTTAGCATGCAACAATAATAATATTTATTTTTGCATAGTTCATTTTTTTTAAATAATGCAAGATATCCCGCCATTAGTTTTCATGAAATAATCCAAAAATCAGCATACACTTGAGAACATAGCAGCTCTACATGTTTTCGCTATTTATTTTCCAATAATATGAGGGGTTCACGGGATAAAGCTTCATTAAGCATAATTGGGGCGGCGACAAATTTGCCCAGCCAGTAAAGTATTCAATTTTTTTTGCATTTTTTTAAAGCTTCTTAACTTAAATCATGGAATGTCTCAAAGACAAAAGTAGCATACAGCATGTAAAGCTAAAGAAAGATAATCATAATTAATACCTTAATTTTTAATATTACGCATTTT